TTTTTTTTTGGTAACATGTAATTTAACTCAGGTGAATGGCCCTTTGTGAATTAGATATATTAAAAACCATCTGAAAAACTGTAAGTACCCATAAAAATACACTATTTTGAAGAAAAAAACATGCCTATGAGTTATTTATCTCAATGAAGCAATTTGTGAGTTTTCCATTTCCCGTTGCTGACAAGTGCATCCCGACCGGTCAACAACAAGGTGATACTAATTCATATATTTATAGGTGATGTAATGAGTTCAATTGTCTCAAATAGACATTGGCAAGCAGTGAACATTGTATACTGATAGCAACTTGTATGTATTAAAAAACCAAACGAATGCACTTTGAAACCTCGGGAAAGTCGACAGCAATCAATAACGCTCAGTTTTCTATGTGTTGGTTACTTTGCATTATCGCTCAAATTTTATTGAAACAAATACTGAAGTGTCTCACTTATACAGATAATTGTTGTTCACATTAGCTTTAAATCATATCATGACAACGACGCCTCCCGTTCACTGGCAGTCCTCGCACTCGGCCTTTCCGTACAACAACCACGTAGCTAAACACGTTTAATAAAGTGCATATACCTGTACACTTTGTTAAAATTGGTAACTTATCCATTCGCGTAATATTAATAACTAATTAGTATTGTGCAAAGCTTATTTTCTCGTTGTTAGCCCTATCCGGATACACACAACCGTCAACACACTATTACTCACGCCACATAAAAACTGTCCGGAATCCGCTACACGGCACACCGTTTTTTCGTTATCTAGCCCGAGTGTCAATAGCCACTCCGTATTGTTTACCCTTATCGTCACCTGTAAAATATGAAGTCTGCTCAAAAATAATATGAGCAAGCATGTGCATCAAAGTTGATGGACTATACACATTTTAATAAAAACAAATGTATCGACTGTTCTTGTAAACGCCATTATGTAACAGAAACTGAAGGTAACAGCTTTGGTGACATTGTGATCAATAACAAAATGTGTTTTTTTATTGATATTTATTTCGAATTATGGTTTTGTAACAAGAACAAAACCGATAACACGTCAGTATCTTTAACAAATCATTGATTATTATAAATACATAGAGCGTAAGTCATGTTTTTTCACTGAAAACAAAAAGAATGTATTAACAGTTACCCAAATGATGACAACTTGAAATCATCATAATGGGAATTAAATCCCATAACACATAATGTATAGATATGATAGTCTCATTTAATTTCCAGTATTGATCCAGTATAACCAGCCATGAATGGCATCATCCTCTTCGTCCTTGTCATTCTGTTGTCAGCCAATCAGATCTCAGCCTACTGTTTCAACAGCCTGCCACCAACAGGACCTCCAGGTAGTTAATATCAATTTATGTTTCTAATCCGGATTTTAGTTTTATTTGTATTTAAATTAATGTTATGCCATGAACGGTTATGTGTGCATGTTTTACAGATATTTGTGTTGCAGTTGCGATTAAGGCTCAAGTGATTTGATGTATTTGAATAAATCTTGGCAGTGTTACAGAAGACGGGGATCTAGTACGCTTTACGTTTAACGAGAAAATGTCTACTTTTACCTACTTCGGAGTCTCACTCATAGGTTATTTAAGTACTTATGTCTGACCTTTTGATTCGATAAAATAGTTATATGGGTTGACAGGATTAATTGATTTACTATTTTATTCAACTAAGTACAAGTCATTTTAGCAAGCTATGATACATGAAAGTTTCTCATGTAGAAACTATTTTACATATCTGTATCACAACGAAGTTTCCATTTTGTATTTCTTCTCAAAGGAAAAGCAAGCTCCTTTATGACAAGCAGTTACTTCATATTTTCTTACCTTTTTTGTCACTCGTTAATGGAGAAATACAATAGTTGTCAATGTTACTGAACATCTTTCGAGTGTATTAATCATATAAAATTATAAGAAAACGCCATTTTTTTAAATTGCATATTAAAATTTTGAACACTGTCGTTAAGCCGTAGCAGTCACTGGTATCACAAAATGGATGCTGCAGTTACCACTAAGAACGTATCAGTCACCATGTAGAAATTACGTGTAAAATATGCACAGTGCATGCATGTCTTGCATAATACATACGTATGTTAAGTACAGGCACACAAGGCATTTTATGTAGTATCCATTTCAAAATTCCAAGTTGTCTGATCAGTTACGTACTCTGAACCAATGGAATATGCCATGGCAAAGACGATGACTTTGTGCATGTCATCTTGTGGACAATACAATAAGACTAGTTTGAACCCGTGTTGTACATTAAAGAATCGTGCGGCAGCGTGACAGTAAAGTTAACAGATTTTGAAGTCGGGTGTCGCCCCTCTGTAATCATCAAATAACAGGTATCCGCCAGGCGATTGGTCGGATTGTTTTACCAATTAAATAGCTCACCGCGCGTACTTTGAATCTTGTCCTGTTACCTAACACCTGATAGTCCAGGGAGCAGTGGTGACAGACAGTAAAGATAGTCGAATTTGAAATAAATATTCTGTGCAAATTTAAAGTTTTTGTTTTCATGAAGTTTAAATAAACACTGTATTATTGTTATTGGGAGATGTATCACAGTAAGGATATACAACCATTGGTGTTCTTAGTTTATGAAGTCTAACACCCCAAACCTTACACGCATTGCCCTACAGGACGGCACGGTAGTCTAGTGGTAGGACGCCGGGCTCGTGACCGAAGGGTTGCGGGTTCGAGTCACGGTACGGCACTGTTTGAGCAAGCTACTTTACTCCGCTTGTTCAAGTCTACTCAGCTGTGAATGAGTACGTGTTTGGGCAGTACTAGAATTGTTGAATGCTAGCTGTTAGCGCAGAAATGCCAGCTCCGGGTGTATGCTCCCCATGGAGTTGAGAAAGATATTGGCTGGTTGCAAAGGCCCTATAACAACGGATAATAATTTTATGAACCGCTTTGAGACGACAAACGAACTAGGTTGTGATAAAGCGTTATATAAGAATATCTAATTATTATTATCATTATTACAGGATTCCTCCTGCCTGCGGTATGTACCTATAAGGGTCGGACATACTCTCCAGGTGAGGCCTGGGACACGGACAACTGTGAGGAATGTCAATGTGACAAAGATGGAGGACTTAGCTGCTGCGGGTATAAGCTACTAATTCTATATTTTTTTTCTGACTTGTTAAAGTTACTGGCAGGGACTTTCAATATCAAGGTCGAAATTTTTATCATGTAATATATGCGAAACGCAGGTAATTTTTCTTATCCTCAATTTAAAGCTTAATGATCATACGTACAATGCTTTGATTGACAATGTAATGAACTGAAATCAAAATTTATAAGTGTTTTTTTAACTAGATGCTACAAGAATGTTTACTGAAATATCAAAGATACAGAGTAAAATTCTTCACCGGACACACATGAAATAATTTATTTTATTTTTACTAGACACACATCAAAATATTATCATGCGTGTAGCGTTTCTGTTGAATCAATGACTTAACTACTGAATAGCCTTATACAATTGATGTTTAACTGGAGGACTGCTTCACTAGGTACGGGTTCCCTGCTGGGTTGATGGACTTTGGGGACGGATGTGATCTCTATCAGCTTGATTGCCTTAATGGTATCATACAAGACAAAGACGGGATTAGCACTTGTGAACGAGCTGGAGAATATATAGAATTAAAGCGAAACTAATAGAGCGACGTACAAACAAATAAGAATGTTTCTGTCGGGCAGCATGTAATCAGGATTTGGACAAAGCGCCTTGGTGCTGGTTATTCTCGAGAAGAGTAAGACTTCGTGAAACAGTGACACTACCAGGACAATGGATTAGTTAAATGCTAATCTTATGTCACAATCACTTGTGATTATTGTGTATCTTGCTATTCTGCCATCGCAATATCGTTATCTTAAAATATTTAGATTATTTATTTAACCTACTGTGTATTTTAACAGAAACAACTTATCTAAATTCTAATAAATCATCTTCCATAAATGTGTGTGTATTTTACGTGTGCTATCTTCAGATTTACATCAACAGAGTATGTGCATATAATGTGTTCATCTGATGGTCCTATAAATACAATCCCCTTTTGTTTGAGTTATATCTATGTTTTGATGGACCCTACGAAAAATTCCTACAGAGGCACAAAGGCACAGGGTGATAGCTCCCTAGCGCAATAATTTCCTCTTCCTCCTCTCCTCCTCCTCCACTTCCTCTTTTTTCATATGAGTAACTATATACATGTGCAGATAGGCACCATGCATTCTTTTTTCTGATTTAATATCAAACATTAGTCGCATTTTTTTCGGCACTTGTAGCTTGGTTTCTTATAAGTCGAAATTAGGATATTGTTCGATTTGAACGAATTTGGGGATGAGCACACAAACATTTTCTTCAACTTCTGTTTACCTGTCACTAAGTATGGCCACCATAAGCTACATGTCTTCTGATAAACGACATATTGCCGGATTTCAATAACATTAGGTGCCTGTGTGTATTATCACACCGTGAACAACAACTCGGCATCCGTTCAAACAAAGAATAAATTGCCTCCTTGGACTGATTGATCGCATTTCAGATATTTATCGATTCGCCCAAATTTTGTATATCATTGTAATGCAAACGATACTGAATAAATGTTAAAAGTTGGTAGCAGTTTTGTATTTTTAAGACGGCGATATAATCAGTTCTTCTTTGTGCTATTGTAGTGAAATACTGTTTAAGGTTAGAATGAGGTACCGCTTTTCTATGTACTCTCAAAGCTGAAGCATTACTATCGTTTTTGTTGGTTAATGATGACTTTTGATGCAGAGCACTATACATGGAACTATTTTCCAACGTTTTATAAGCTTCAAATCCTATTATGTAGGATATGTCTTGAGGTAAACGGTAAAACTGACAATGCACGGGTAAATATCTATTTTCTCATTTTATCTCAATGTTACGGAAAAATACATATCAATGATCATATTCGTTTTTAACCTTTTGATTGTGAACTTTCCCTTTCTTGACAGTAGCATCCCTAATTCCCGTCCTAACGGTGTTTACATGTCGATTTTGAGTTTATGGTCGATATGGTTTGTTTGACACTTAAATATTTTGTTGTTGGTTTTTTTAATTACCTTTTGAACATCGAACAATTAACACACGTAGACAGCTATGCGCTAATATCGTATCGGTCTTCTTCGTTTGTTCAGTAAAAAAATAACCAATATTCCTTCATCTCCCTGTGCATAATACAGAAACAATAAGAGAATACCGAAGTATCGAACTCAAAATTGATAAAACCTAGAGCAAGTTATAACCAAAAGAAAGATATACATGGAGACTCTGGAAGGTATAAAGAAGAACAAAACCAGGGGTTCCAGCAGGGAAGGCGTCACTTGCTTCATCGACAAATTAAATTACGTAACGTCCTTAGCGAGAACTAGGGAAGTGACAAAAACAACAAGACATGCTTCTGAGCATAACCAAATAATGATGGCCGCTATAAAATTAGTCTATAAACAAATGCTTGATGGATACAATATTTTAATGTTGTTTGATAGAGGTATACAAAACTGTATGTATTTTGTTTTCAATTTTAATATCAGAGACAGACAGACAGACATTCTTTATTTCCTCCTTTAGGAGATTTCATATGTCAAAACAGTTTTACAAAATGTGTCTTAATTTATATATAAACATCGTTTTGAGAAGTAAATGTATTAAATAATGACGTATTGGACATTCATATAACAGCATTATATAATTCATGATACAAAATGTTCACTACAATATATATTCCTCATACATCTTTTACATATATACGTTTACACTTATATATACATCAATAGGTTAATTATAGAAAACTCTCCATCTCACATACCATTCCTTTGATATTTCCAGCCATATTTATCATTAGTGTTTCCCACTCTATATCAGTCAAGTATACATGTGAATGATCGCCAAGTAAAAAGCTGCACTGGTCTTCAATGCTTAGTTCTGAAAACTGTACATATGACAATACTTCTATAGCATTTACAACACCATCCATCATTTTATCACGGCTTAAGTATAAACCTGGACATTCTAATATAAAATGCAACACAATATCTTTACTTGTTTTCTCACATATCTTACATATAACCAATTCATTCTCACAAGATATTGAGTATTTAAATAACTCTACTAGATCCCATACATGTTGTTGAGAAATTTGTTTAGTGCTTAGTTGCAATATTGGATTTATTCCCGGATCACTATGGATAGCAGCATATCTCTTATGTTCATCACGTGTATTTAGTTTATCTGTCCACCTTATNACCCCACAAACAGCATTAGCCAGCCCGGTATATTACATCAGGTGCCACAACCCACTAAGGCAATGGTTGTACGCAGACATCGGCGAGACAGTAAGGAGTCTGAAGAATCGTTTATTGGCGCATAGACGACCACGTTGTTCATTCTCCTCATCAGAAGCGGATCAGAACATTTAAATCAAATCCCCGGGTCATCCCGTCGACCTAGACAAACACGCTTCTGATACTGGACAGGGACCATGATTGTCTGGACTATGGGATCATGGAGGCCATCTCCATCCGCCTTTACCAGCCGACTCTCAACCAGGACAGGGTGAGGTACCTCCAACCAGGTGTCTATGACTGGCTCCTGAGATTATTTGTACGCAAGGTCACAGGACATCAGGTAATTGTACCTGGCGAGTCTCGGATCTAATGAGGAAGGCCACAGTAGCGGTTGAGATAGATTTTTTGTTTTCTTTTTAAAAATGTTTCCCTCAAATGCATGCCTATTACTACATAGTTTTGTGCTCAGATATACAGTAAATATATTTGTATAAGAAATCTCATCCGGTTGAAATTGTAATTACGATTAATGACTAGCCTTTCGTTGTGAATTATACATTTATTTTCGGATAAAACTCTTAAATTTACTGTATAGAATTGCATTACTAATCAAGCAACGTTCCGTTGCCAAATAATTGATCGTGTATGCTGTGAATATTTAACACAATTTTATGATTGACCCCGCTGGTGAACTCTCAGTTCACGAGGTTGGCTGTAACTTTGTAGCTGCAATTTAGCCTGGCGCGTTTTTCATGAAATATTTGTGTAAGAGTACATTATCTATTGTTTCCAAAAGTTCCTTATTTGTCACGTTATAAAGGATTTTGTAAGCATCGTGTCCATTGTGTTCTACACGTTTAAGAACACTGTAGATATCGATATTCTTTTGACCTTTATTTCTACTGATGAGTACTAATAGGACAACGTTGCTATAGGTGCTTCCTTCATAGGGATTTCTTGATAAAGAATGTAGCTATATGTGCTAATAAATGCTCTCTTACCCTGGCAAACTGCAATGCAGTATACATATGTCAATGCATGAGAAAAAGCGATTCCACTATTAGTTTTATTTCTTAATCCTACGTTATTATGCGGTGGCAAATATTTGTTCAAGATAATTTTCTGAAAACAAAAACCACTAGTGGCAGATATTATATTTGCATATATTATATGTTGTAAATCGTTATGAAAACCAGCATGATCACGATTAGGTTTAAGTCTGTACCGACCCAAGGTAGCATTTCCTAAGTGTCTCTAATTAAAACCTTTATTTACTAGTAAATAAGGAGATGATATTGAATCGATCTGAAGTAAGTGTCGTGTACAACGTAGAAACCGGAGCAAAATGTTCAGCCACAATGGCAACCACTAATCGAAGCTTATAGCCGTAGGTGGCATTATTTTTAAATTAATTGGACATTCCTATTCACCTCGGAAAGAATAACAATGTTTTGGTTTTCACAAAATCATGAAGTATGATCACAATACGAAAAGTGCGCTTTTTTCCATTACGTGATGATGTAAAGATCTGATATTCTCATTTAATTTGCAGTATTGATCCAGTATAACCAGCCATGAATATCAATATTCTCTTCCTCCTTGTCATTCTGTTGTCAGCCAATCAGATTTCAGCCTACTGTTTAAATAAAGACCCTGCACCAGGTGGCAAGTATCTATTTTGATTTAAGTTCAGTAATTTACTTTTTTTTTTTAATTTTCGTTTTATATTCTACTCACGAAAATTGTATTATGCTTATGAATGCGATTGAATAACATTGTAGTTATATTTGTTTTAAACACATTACACGAACAATCAATGTATACAAAAGCGTTTTTTATTTGTGAAAGTAACATAGGAAAAATAAATGCATGTGCACGTCAGTTAATAAACAGATATGTATGCATATCATATAAACTATGATATAGCTATTGCGATAGAGAAAAATTATTGAATTAACTTTGGAATTTTAATGTTCATCACGTGACCAGATATGATATTTATATGCTGTCACCATTTATCCAGCCAAATGGTGGCGTTATAAAAGGGTAAAGAGGTGGCCTTTTTTTTTTTTAATAAACTCAAGGATTTCCAATAAAAATATCAAGATTTAATGTTGATCATTATTTGAATACAAACGTTTATTAATAACAAAAATATTGATAAAATAAATCAATTTAGACCTTGAGTAACAAGTTTTCGTTTAATATTGCAAAGTTTGACAAACTATAGGCTTCGCAAATTCAAATGAGCAATATTTTGTGAAGATAAATTGTGTTATATATTGTATTTTATTGAAAAACTAAATTCATTTACATACATTACTGAAGAAGCAAAACAACGAAATTTGATATTGTAATACAATGTATGAACTTAATGAAGGCAATGTATATCATGTATAAGATGCATAAAGATAATAAAAAAAACAAATTCAAAATTAAAAATATTTTGTGAAGATTAAATAACTAACTAATATGAAGCTGTACCAGGCTCAGGACACTTGATGGTGGACGGTTCATTACATTTGTTGCTCTTCTTATAGGAAATAGTCAGCCTACGGTATGTACCTATAAGGGTCGGACATACTCTCCAGGTGAGGCCTGGGACGCGGACAACTGTGAGGAATGTCAATGTGACGAAGATGGAGGACGTAGCTGCTGCGGGTAAGATTTTTTGCACGCCAAAGTATTATATTGATTTACTCTCAAACTTACAACTCGTATGATCAGTTAGACATACCATATATCTACCAAAAAAACAGATGTCGAATCTTGCCATCAATAAAGTGATTTCAAAATCTTTTCTGAAATAAAGGCAAGTGAGCAAGACAAACAGAGATGGTTTATTTATAGACTACGGAAATACGATCTTTTTTTTAAAACTAAAGTAAAAAAATAGTCACTAGAAGAAAGTCTACGTAGATAATAAAAGTTGCAAAGAGAAAATGCTGACTGGACACACACAAAAGAAAATGCCAGCGTTCCATCGAATATTGCAAAACTACTTAATTACTTTGTACGGTTGATAACTAATGAACTTTTGTTATTGATATGTCGACAGATATGGATTCAATGCCGTAGTGATGAACTTTGGAGTCGGATGTAAACTTGAACGATTTGATTGTCTTAATGGTGCTGTCGTAGACGCAGACGAAGCCGGCGGTTGTGAAATGACTGGGACGGAGATACACCTAAAGCGATCCAAAAAAGGAGCAGCGTAAAAATCAAACCAATCCTGATTTGGGGATTGATAATCAATTTCCGCGGATCATTGATGTTATCACGAAAATAACCACTATAATGCTTGACATCCAATGGAGATAATAGTGAAAGCTTTTATTCGCCATCGCATTGTTATAATTAGCAAAAACATTTGCAAATCTATTAAACTGCATTGTTTGTTGAACAGCTGCTGAAAATTCCAATAAATCATCTTTAACTTATATCTCTACTTTTTAATTCTTGTATTTTTGAGTATTGCACCAAAAGAAAATTAGCGTATAGTGTTTTCCTTTGATCACCTCAGAGTAAAACACTATCATCGCGAGACTCTTAATTAGTTTTGCTTTTCTATATATAAATACGGGATTAGTAACAGTATATTATGAGTTTCATTTTAGTATACAACACATTTCGTCCCTTATTGATGTAATAAGGATGTAGAATACGTACTGTTCAATACACATCGTAGAGACACTGTGGCTTCCAAACTGACTGACATGACATAATTTAAAGCGTCAAAACTTCTGATTCAAAAGTTCATCCAGGCAAACCACAACGTGTACTGAAAAAAGGAAAAGGTAAACTTATCAACGAGAAGACATTTTGTTAACTTTTTGCAGCCCCAAGAACCGTATAGAGAAAGTTGTCTACGCCAAGGAGAGAGATAACACAGCTGTTACTTGATGCAGTTTTAAAGACTTAGATATATATAAAATGCCATTTAGAGACACACGTTATGCGATAGCTCACCAATAGCCTATTCAGAGAGCAATCTATTTTGCTTTGGGATATATTTACATTAATAATGTTTCAATGTTAAATTATCAACTGAACATCTATGCAAATGACATTTCGAGGAGTTCTCTAACAATTCAAACAACTCGTGCCATGCATTATCACAAATTCTCTGCTTTATAAGTGGCAGAGCCTAAGATATATTTAGATCAGTTCTTAGTATCTAATAGCTTGAACCAGTACTTAATTAAATAATAATGCTGAGTATGTACAATTGGAAATCAACCAAATTCAAAATAAATCGTTACATTACATGTGGATTTCTTGAGACATAAAATATTTTAGCAAAACTCCAGGTGATATTTTTCAATGCATAAACCTTTGCACGAACCCCATACTCCAGATGATTAACACCTTATACTGGTAACACATGTGTCAAACAGTTTGGCTATCATATGGCATTTTTAACTCACATGTATTTGTATATAATGCAAATACTGCTCTTCGATCTTGCCCAGATAATTGCTTTTGTACAAAATCGAATTTATTTTTTGATTTAAAAACAGTTTACAGATGTGTAAACTGTATAACAGTTTTTATTTATTTTCCATCAAAGAACTATTCCTCGTCTTTACGTAACCGGTCTTCATCTCTAAAGACAACAATGTTATATTCGGGCGGATTGGTCAAGTGGTTAACACTCCGGCCTTCCACGCAGGCGGCCGGGGTACCATCCCCGAAATCATCGTACGCATGGATATTCAGAGAAAGTGTTTTTCTCCTGCCCACACAACTCAAACAAACCAGGTGGAGTATAAAGCGGTCTGGGGTGGATGTTGCGGAATCTGTGTTGTACCATTTTTAGTGAGGTGGCACTATAAATTATTATAGTTGGAAGCACGGTCCCACTACAAACAGAACACATTGCATCTCCAACACACACGCAGTCATACACACATAGGGAGATATTAGCCAGGTGACATAGGACTAGAAGTTAGTGCCTAATAAGGCAGCTCCTGCGAATTCCTCAAAATTGTATTGATTAATGTATATGCTAATTGTATATCTATGTACTGTAAAGCGCTTCAGACTGGCTTATGTTAGCTAGATAGGGCGATATATCAAATGCTGTATATTATTAGTATTATTATTATTACAAGATAAAAAAGATCGTTAGGTATTGTTAGAATGAATACATTATGTACTTAATAATGTTTCTTGGTGACAAAACACTAATATCTTGCTCCTTTTCGGCATTACTGAGCTCCTTTTCGTCGTCGGAATGGGCGAAAATGATACCGGCAATGTGCAAAATTGATTTTTATGTGCAAATAATCAACAGATTAAAAAATAGTTAACCAATCATATCATTCCTTTTCGCTTCAAACCTCCCAAAAACCTATTATTTTTGGTCCTTTTCGTCATTACAACTCTTTTTCGCTCCTTTTCGTGGTTTACCCCTACCCCAAGATGTTCCCAGGCCGCGGTTAGCCAGTAAAAACCGTTCGGGGATATAAAATGCATGCGTACAAAATTTAAAGCAACACATGAAGCTTGCTGGGGGTGTTTATAAACATTGGAACATATTGCAAGCAGTTTTGATCGGAATTAATGTTCATTAAGAAATAATTGTTCCATTGTTTCGATTCAAAATTGATTGAATGCTCAAATGTTTATAAACATCCCGGGCAAGTTTCTGTAGTCACTTATTATACGCGCATGCAATTTTTATCCAACAAATCTTGTTTTTCATCAGGTTAATAAAATAAAAAATAAAAAATAGTGTTTTCCCTAAGGTCAGTCCGTGCATGCCAGAGATTAGTTAATTTAGGCCTAGCCTAGTCATTTTTTGTTATTTTTCTTTTTCTATCTAAGCTTATAGGATAAAAGTATCCGCTTTCATCAGTATATTGAGAAAGTGATGAAATATTAAAATATTTTTAATTTCATCTTGATAGTTAACATGTGAAATGTTAAAAAAAATGGACTGCATTTTAGCATAAAGCTTAGGCCTATAAAGGCCTATTCATGTGTACGGCATCTACTGTGTTGCTTGCATAAATGTGTAAACTATCAATATATCTACATGTTAATAGAATGGAAATGTGTTCACAATCATTCTTAAACAACGTCTTACCTAAAAGTCTCTCACAGTGTGTACACCTACCAGCTGCTACGTACGTCGTCTGCTAATTAAAGTCTTTGGTTTTTTAACTGTGTTGTACTGTAGCAGCAGGCGACGTTTTAAGATAAGTTAATCTCGGAAGTTGGGACTAGAATATAGAATATTATTTTCCCAAAATGTTGTTTTCACATTTAAACAAAAAAAAATTGATGGGAAATATCATTTTTATATTTTTTTTTTATAAATTGAAGTGATACGGAAAACAGTAGTAAAACAATCGATTAAATTTATCAACAACGACATGCTTAGAGGACATGTTTTTGGTGCACGGTCGTTTAGAAGCTTTGCAAGAGCGACTCTTTCAAACGCGCATATGTTCTAGTCCCGGTACGGTACTGGAAGATACAAGACGACTTGGATTGGAATTTAAATTGCGTATATTTCGGCAAGTAAACATTGTTTACAAAGCCCATGTGGTCAGTTCATCTAATTTAGTCAAGATGTACTCAGACCAGTCGTTGTTTAGTCGCTACGGTCATTCACATTAAGATTATTATATAAACTTATTGTAATTATTACTATCATTATTATTCATCCTGGTTTTGTGCATGTGTGTGAGAGGTTGTTGTTGTTTTTGTTGTTGATAACGTCCCGGCTGTTGTGGTGTTTCCGCAGTTGCTGTTGTCTGATCATATTGACGTTAAGATCGATAAAGTCCATGTGCATCGACACATTCACGCAAGCCACGTGAGGAACAGAAAACTCTTATCACTCCCGAAGAAAGTGTTTGGTTTCGACCATTGACTTATTCTGTGTCCTCGTCCTCATGTATCCTTGTTACAGTACAGTTCGATGCACCCCATGTGTTGACTATGTGATAGAAGGACGAAACAGAAGTATTGATCATTGTAATGTCAATTTGTCTCACTGTATCTATTACCAAATTGTATAGATGCAATCACATGTATGATACTTTGTCCTACTTATTATCACAAATAAGGATATATGTTTCTTGAATCTTGTGGGGATGAGATATATAAGCCGTTCAACGTTTCCAAACGTGGTTTTTACGCTGCTGAAAGAATTAAATGAATTACACACTGCAGAGAGGGCAAAATAATGGGAATACAATTAAATCAAATACAAATATTTGTTATACGGCAGCAGGAGAGTCACAGACAGGTAATTATACACTAATGAGGCAATATATATGTGTTTTACGTTGTTAAAGGGAGAGAGAGAGAGAGAGAGAAACAGTCTTTACAAACCTAAACAGGTAGAAAAATAGTTTCATGATGCTTGAAACACAATGACAAAATTTTATACAGGGGAGAGGAAGACGACTGACACAAATATGTAATATCAAATAAAATTTTAAAATGAAACGATTAAATAAACATGTCAAATAATACAAAACCTGCTGTTTTTAGGTGGTTTCACAATAGAAAAATAAATAAACAGAGTGTTATAACTGGATGCTGAATGTCACAACGACTTTGATGGATTATAGATATAATCAGGACGGTTGACTCGCTGGTCAAGGAGAGCACATGGCTAGTACTGTATATGATGATTGTCTATATGTCAGCAAAAACAACACTGACATATTCCAGCGTCGCCACGCAAGAACAAAATCTACCGCAAGTTAAAATTCAGGGACCATAGCACCAACAAACAATGACAAAATAGCGAACAAAAGTCATATGAACATAGAAAGCAATGAGATATTAAGACAAGTATCAAAAACCTCCTCTGAGATACGGCTATGAGAGTGGATCATACATCAACAATCTTGTTTGTCTTTGGCAACCGGAATGGCTTAGCATGCCGATTTTACAACTTGATTTGGAGACCAAATGTATTGAGACTTAAGTTGTTCCGGCGTATGCTTATTTAACATTGTTATTCGAACAAACATGTCACTTCAGTTTAAGCACTGGTCTATAGTAATAATTGTACTGTATTGTCGGAAAAAGACATAGTCAATATATAAGTTGTCAAAACTTTCGATTATTTGTTTCAATACAATATGCTAAATAAATTACCCATATTTAGTTGGTTTCATTTCATAAAGCTGTGAATGCATGAGTTTCTCGTCTGTTTTTTATTGTGTGGCGAGAAATTACAAATGTTGTGAATATTTCTTGTTGCAAGCTACACATAAGTTGGGCAAAGTACCTGATCCGTATGTTACAAAGGTCTTTAATTGTATGTTCAATACTTTCGCTAAGGATCGAACCCAGTACTTCTTGTTTACCTAGCTGACGCTCTGCCGAATGAGCTAAAGAGAAATGCTCTCCTATGACCGTTGTTATGATAACAACTTAGACCGTGTGACTTACATCTAACGACTGGTAATTCAGCGTTTGATTTGAATATTATAATGTATCAAATAGTGTTGAGGAATAACCACATTTCCGATTGTAAGTCACAGTAGTAAAAGGTCGAACTTTGCTTAGAAATTTATAAAATATACGAATATAAAGTAACTAAACTGGAAAATATTTGAAAAAATGAAGACACAAGTCGAAGATATGCAAAATAGATATTTATTAAAAAAGAGAACCTCATCAAATAAATATGGTGTATTAAAATATAGCATTTCCTGGATTTAACTACATGAAGAATCAATATTCAAAAAAAATATGGTATGAACAAATAAGACATTCTCGCCAAGTCAAACGTGCCTGGAATGTGGACGACTCTGTATCAGGAATGGAAATTTACCTGCATGTTCCATTCATTGTTATCGGTGTACGAATGCACGGATTTAATGCAATACTGTGTGTATATACACTAGTATATGCTTATTTTTTTTTTACATTTAATTGAAACGTTCACGTTGGCCAAAGATTCTTTTTCTGATAAAAACATGGGGCAAAATTTCAAATTTCAGGTGAATTACTAGACCGTCAATGAACTTGACGCACAAACAGCAATATATACGTCCATTTTTAGGTGAATCAAGAATCTGGTTCAAACATCTTATAATCTTAAGTATATTGTTTCATACTGTGATTATGAATACTGATAGTCAGTAAAAAGTTAAAAAAACATTTTCATCACCAATAATTTTCAATACCAGTGAAGTATTATCTAGTCAATTCTAGAAACACAAATACAAATGCATGTTATCTGAAAAAAACTGTTCAATCATCATCTTAGAAATAAATATCTATTAGATATGAAGCATACAATTTGTCATATAAACAATGTCACATTCACACTGGTATTACAACATACACCTTCAAAAATACCCGTATGAAAAACATGGGGCAATGTTCTTTGAATATATGCTACCTTACACTTACTTTAGTACAGAATAGGCTGGGAATCATTAATGTTTAATTTATTCTTATGTTATTTTAAATTTACCATCCAAAAATTGATCAAGATCACTTGATTTTATTTATAAAATATCATTTATAGTTTATCTAAGCTTGGAACTCTTGTTTACAATTTACAGTAAGGTAGCATATATCCTTAAACTCATTACTTAATTAGCTATTGTATATGTGTTATTAAGGACACACATTTCACTATGTGTAGTATGGAGATTCGTTTCCTCAATTTTTGGGCAAAATCCTAACGTCTGCGCACTGGTAAAATGCCGGAGGCGCGTCTGAGTTCATCGTCTTGTAGATTATCTGTGACAAAGTAGTGACATGTAAACACGGAATACTGTATACACGATGTTAAACCTGAATCGATTTCAGATGATCAAACATTACCGTAAACAGTGGGGAAACCGTTAATTTTTACACTTGTTTCTCGGTAAAATATCACGATCATATGAAAAAAGCCTTCATGATATTTATATAAACTGGGATAGATTTTGAGGAAGTGACCAAAGGAAATTCACCACAACATCGGAGTCACATAATACTGTGTTATATTATAATTGAATCGGGACTATGCTCTGACTCTAGAATCAGATATATTGAATTATTTAACTTCTGAAAATATATTTAATAGTTATATTGCCACATGCATATTTCAAGTTAAAAATTTCACTAATACAGAATACAATTTGACTGACTACAGCTTTATAACTACAAATAAATGTTATCAACATGCTCAATGAGTATGCCGTCGACATACATAATCAAATGACGCTATGTTGGTGGTGTCAGCATCCTTACATTAAATATTCACCATAAGCTGCTGAATTACATATTTACACTTTGAATTGTCAAACAAAATAGGCTATATTTCAGTTTTCTTTAAATACTAAATTACGAAGTAAGTGGACCAATTGTTTATTTAATATCATCTTTATATCTCTTACAGACCTGTTAGAGCTTGTTTTTCACATGCCAGTATCATCATTAAAAAACGATACAATATTTATGTTCTGACAGCTGGATGTTCTCATAAAACACAGACACTTTAGGCAAAAAAGAAATTTAATATGAAAAGGTTGTCAGAGCTCATTGGATGTACCTACCTGAAGAACTGCATCTTTATTCACCCTATAAAAACATAAAAACAATTCATGTAATATAAGTAACCAGGTTGTACAACTATATTTGGCATAATTATATTGTTTCAGCTTTTATTTAATTTCTATGATAACGTTCCTCAGGACAATAGGTACAATGAGCCTGTGTCGGCCACCTTGTTATACAATGTTGTGTGCAAATGCACTTGAACACAATATCAAAACTCTACAACCTGTAGATAATTTTGTTTCATGCGAAATTCAAAGTCTCATGAAGAACCTTATTCGAACAAACTTCCTAGTCAATCATCCAAGCAAGCTACCTCATAAATATGTTTATCGCAGGCCTCTATGTCATTCAGAAGTTGTTTGAAATCTCAACACATTTGACACATACGACCTTGAAAGGTGTTTATTTACACATACATGCTACATTTTCAAGAAAAATACCATTACTCTATGCATCTTGTTTATTCAGGAAAAAATGGTTTACAGATTACAGCACATTTTATGGTTATGACCTTTACACTAGGTCAAGGAAATCAATTTGAACATCCTTATGTCCTTCAGCATAATTGACCCGTTTGACGATGAAAAGGAGGTAAAGTCATTTATTTGAACAAACATGATAGGTCATAACACTAACTAGTATGCTAAAAGCAAAACTTCGTAACAGCAAGTCTCTTGTTTATAAAAAAGAAGGTCATTTAAAGAAAACAAGTTCACACTGTACAGAAGACGGACGGCGCGTCATCACAAAGGCTCACGGCAATTTCAACACGTCAGTGAAAATAATTTTGATGTCATCTTTAAACACTCAATTGTTTGAATATCAGGTGAGAATTTAATACATTGGTTGTTGGCATGGTCTTGCAAAACTTCCTTAAATGAAGATTGCACTAGAAAGTGAATTGTTATTAAATTCGTAAGCATTAACTGAGGCATACTTTATATGGAAAGGCTATAACATTACCATGGCACGGCTGGGATAACGATGGTTGAGGTATAGATGCTCAATGCCGGTTCGCCTTTGTCCGGTATTTTCACCAGACCCTGATAATCCTGATCACCATCTCGTCCCAGAAATATAGCAAAGAATCCCTGTAACAATGCAAACATATTTAATTCTTTAATTCACTTAGCCTATTAACGAGCCTATAGAACATTACTTAACCGACTTTATTTTCATACTGGACACAATCGTTGATCACAAAACAAGCTGAATTGAATCAGAATATTGGTTTTCAGTTCTGTGTAGGGATAAAGTATCATTTCATTAAACAAAATTATCGCTGTTAAAGATTCACATGCATCATACAACAATATGTTGGATACTATAGGACGTCATAATCAGTTTGCGGGGTTTCATTATTATCACAATCAAAAACAGGTCAAAACGTCGTTTGGCTGATTAAGAATAGTTTGCATCGACAAGGGAGGCCATCTCGTGAACATAATAATTATTGAAAAAAACTTGCTCCGAATGTCTTGCATGGATATTCGAATTAAATATTGGTATTCCTTACCTTTTTTACTGTTCTTTTCTTATGTGGCATTAGTTTGTATACACTTCATTTACAGTTATACTTTACTTAGTGTTGCATTTACTTTGTCTATAAGGTATTTTAACCCAAATTTGATTGCTTTCACACAATATTTCCATACTTCACAGTATGACAAATAAATCACAATCCGACGAGTAATATTACTGAACATTTCTAAACATGAAGCTTGTCAAATATTCGATTTTTAAGAATCTAACCAAGAGTGTAACTGTTTTATTATACATGTAAGGTTTGTCTATTTTTTTCCCAACCCCAAAATGTTCCCTAAAAAGGACATGTTTTAATGGACCTCCGTGCTCCGAAATCTAAACTGGTTTTAATGAAAGAGCTTTTTTTGTAATTCCTTAAGGCACTAAAACTGAATGACAACAGATGATGGTATTAATTTGATTAAAAGATACAATATTCTGTACGAAATCCCCAATTTTTGTATTTTAACAAGGCGATATCATTCGTAAAGAAATTAGGATGTATGTTCCAACTTACCGGCGATGCTTCCTTCCAATGATTAAGGTTTTTCTGGAAGACAACTTGTTATTCTTGTCCGACCCTAATATTTGAATATAACGACATATGTGTGAAACATGTTTATATCATCACTGTGTTCAATTGTTCAAGATAACACATATACAATACAATACAAGGCGTTAAGTATATCTCTTCTGCTATGTCCCTGTGCATCTTTTGCCTAAGGATTAAGGATTCAAATATGTTGCTAATTTGATATGAATTTCGAAAGGAACACTTAAACGAACTTAAGACCAACCTTTTAATGCTTATAAATCATGTACCACAGGATCGACCTGATCCTTGATGTGTACAGTAAGTGGTAAACAGGTAGAGGAAGACATAGTTTGTCTTCATTTACACGGTAAATACAACGGTACATAACTATACACTACACAAATACATAGGTAAATAAAATGTAAAACAATACATGTTGTGCAGTTTACCACTCAGTTAATATAACTAAAAGTGAATATGAACCTAGAAGGTCATTGCAATGTCGGCGGCAATGGCCATGGATGTGTTTACAAAACTATTTTGATGAAGCACAATATCAACAGTGTTGTATACTACTTTGACCTGTCTGTCTGTCTGTCTGTCGAGTTAATAAAGCGGTGAAGCGTCCATATTGTATCTGGTTAGGACATCTAGTCAAGTCAGGGAGAAATGAATCTTCTCTGACAAACATGTAAAACTCTCATAATAGCTGTCACCAGATTTCATCGACAAATCCCTTGTTTTATAGAGCAGTCGATAGCTGACCATAAACAGACGACCGATCAGAATTTCAGAGCCTGCCATTACGATCAGTTTTAGCAGACTAGTTATATCCCTGTGTACGTAAAATGCACATTTCTATTGATGAAGAACAATATTGACAGTATTGTATACTACGCTCACCTGCCTGTGTGTTGTCATAGATGTCGTTATATCCCTGTATACGATTAATACATGTTTTAACAACTATATGCTATATCTTAAGATAACAAAAAAGTATCCCTTGGAATAGAGAGACAGATGAAGGTTGTTCAACTTTAATGAAGCTGAAAGCACGATTTATATCGATATATATATACACCAATTATATTTTATTATATTAACATGTAGAATTTGTGGGTGGAAAGTACATAAAAAACGCATGATATCATTTCAGTATTGAAATGTTGCCAAAAATATGCAAAGCTGACGCATAATAAGAAAATTAAAACAGATTATAAAAATAAACCAGAGATACATTGTTAGTCAATGATAAATTTGAAACAGATGAGAAAATGCATACCATCGGTACATTGTAGGGTAATAATGCATTTAAACTAGGTTACATGTACACAGAAGTGATGAGAAGATTACCTTAATTCAACAGTTCTGTTCGACTGTCTCTCTCGGCCGCCACATGGAGGCTTCAGCAGAATACAATTATCAGCTCCTGAAACAAACCAACATATTTGCACCACAAACAACTTCGCTTTTAAAAATGTGTCAGTAAAAAGATACAAATTGTATCATTATCTGTACAAATACACCATGAATTAGTTTACCATATATTCCTTTATATTGCGAACTGTATAACTATAAATTTTACTTACCCGGACAGACAAAAGTTTACGGTCATCATTTAAGACAATTGTTTACAGTGAATGTGATAGTTGGTTAGTGATAAACATTCTCGTTTTAACAGGAAATACCATGACTGATGCATCATTTGAAAGAGGAAATGTTTACTCATGTGTTACTGAGTACAAGGTTTCGTTTTGCATATTGCTTTCAGATTAATGTTTTTCATTTTGTTTTGGAACATTATTCCAAATAATGGAATATTTTGTATATATCTTTTTATTGATGGTATCTTCAGAGTTTGTCCTTATGCAGTAGCGCTGTGTAATTTGTCATTGTGTGTTGACGCAAAGGCATCGAATTGACAAGATGTCCACTAATAATAGTAGAGATGGATAAATGCAGAAGTAAGTATGTGTGATATAGTCATGTGTATTTCATACTACAAGCGTGATATATTACCGAAAGTATTTGGCATCGTACATATACAAAATTGGATAATAAAGATAAATATTTATATATATACAATATATATCAAATACGGACGATCTGAAAGTTTATGTTTTTATTCTATACACTATAATATATTTATATAATGACCTCTGGATACCACGCAATAGCTTTTCTCTATGTAACTTCAGTGATATACCACATATACAGGACATAATATCATAATATTGAAAACACTGCATGGTTTAATATGTATCTTGCAATGTTATCAATGTGTACATCGGATATCAATAAAATACCAACAATCCTAACGGTAGGATATGGTGAACATGTATTTAATTTTGTCTGTAATCATATCGAAAGTCTGTTAATACCTATACAAAAATAAGAGGTATTTTGATTTAACTACGCTACCTGGTTTGTTTATTCCCTGTAGAGAGCCTCGCTGGGCAGGACTTAGAAGGCACACGTGGGAGTAGCTGACAGCGATAACTGCACTAAAGACGATAACAACAAACACAGCCGACGCCATCTTGCATAGTCACATGCCTGACATGTGACCGAAAGTGTTAGCACAATTACTTACCCTGGGTTATATAGACCATTTACCAGTACACATTCATTTACACGGTGTATTAGAAAAGAAAAAAGAGCATAAAGCAATAGTTATACAATACCATAAACAAAAGACATGAATATATATCAAAATAAGAAGTTTTTGATTATATATAAAGTTTGATTAGTTTAAACTTTGTTTTATTCACATAACATATGTAATAGAGAATACAAACATATGATTAAACATAAATGGATAGGAAACCGAAACAACATCGTTGGATACTCACAGTTGATTTCGCTTCGGTACTCATTGATGAGTGAGTACCGAAGCGAAATCAACAAATGTTGGTACACTTACATAATTATGTGTTATTACTACACAACTATTGTATCTATACAATCCGACTCTGTGTACGTAGACCTGCCTGTTGGTAGCGATCTATCCTAGTACAAATTTAACCTTTTGTCTACTGATGCAAATAAATAAATATATCAATAATTATATATATATTATTCATCTGTTACATAAAGTTACAATATTAAAGTTATAACAACACAGACTTTTTCGGTATGGATTTTTTTAAAGAACTTTTTTACATTTTGACCAGGCTTACTGCATATAAGGCGGTTTCTGAACCCTCCGCTATAACCATGTTGTAATATTAAATTCAATATCACAGTTATGAGTTTAGCTTTTACCCATCGAAAGTAGGTGCCATAATAATATAAATTAAGGCAAATTTAATAGTGTTGTTTTGGTTATGCAGTTGGTTTAGTTAAAACACAAACCAAAGATGTTTTGCTAGTTGATTTACTTTTTACAAGTTAAGGCCGGGACGATATATGCAGTGAAGAAACATATATTTAAGAGATGCCATCGAGGCTTGCGTGACTTTATGTTAATCATCAAATTCTTTACAGCAGCTACTAAAATTTTAATAAAAATAAAAAGTATTATTATTTTGTTCAGGTTTCACTCCATGGGTTTGGGTTTTACGGAAAGAAGATATACAATGCTGGTTTTATTCTGCTGATAACAGAGAGAAAGTTAGCGGCACGGTACCTTTTATCAAAAGAAGCGTTTACGATAGAAATGCAGCAAGTTTTATTAAAACGTAGTAAAGGTCGATCACAATGTCATGATTAAACGGGAATTCTGGGGAGAATATTTCTACATTCTCGATATCCGCAAGAGCTGTTTTCTTTGCCTACCGTCAAAACCTTGTGGCAACAATGTGTAAGAGTACGGTATTATCACTAGTACTTGTAGGAAATATTCAAAATAGACTTAGTCAGCATTAGGAAAACCAGGAACTAATGATAAATAATAATACACAACATTGATAAAGCGCCCTATATAATTTGAAAAATTACTTTAAGGATCTTTAAAACATAGGTAATAATATTCCTACAGCGAGTCATAAATAGAGTGGATACAAAGGCAATAAATTATAGATCTGATATATATACCAAATATCCATGTAACGTTATTTTGATTGTCCATTGTTCAATAGTTCATTGGTTGATATCCAAAGACACCAGCGTAGGGGACCACTAACGTTTAATGTGGGCCCCATTATAAAGATGAACGTAACACTCACACAAGTCTTATAGTAATAAATGCCGTATACCAAAAACGAATAACGCTGCATCATAAAGCTGTTTCGTTCTTCCAGGACTCACCAAACTGTCAACTAACTGTTCAAAGCCAGTTTCCATTCAGGACTGAGGACTTTCTTCTGCTTGGAGAGCACCAAAGTAACCAATCTACACGTCACAGATACACAGATTTTATTCTGAAAATCCTCTGCAGTAAGCTTATTACGGTTAGAACCAAATTCTAACAAGAGCATGGACATTTGAATAACATTAATCATTAATACTTGAGGTGAAAAGTAATATATATATATAACTTTCCTATTAGAGTAATAAGTGTTCATAATATTAATTTGATAATTAGTTATCAAAAAGTATATTCAGTCCATATACATGTATTTAACTACGGATGGATAATAAAATTGGTTCTCTATAACTATAGAGTATCGGTGAGTTTCTCCTGTGATGGTCGAGGCAAGACTCGAAAGATTTGAAAGTTCTTCATGACAAGCTGTTCCAGATGTCAACAGTTCTGTGACAAAATTTATTCTTTCTCATGTTTAGGCGCGTTCTATCCTGGAATAGTTTACACGCATGACCCCTTGTAACAGTATTGTTCTTCTTTTGTGACATGGACGTGACATAATATTTTCCTATCATTATCTTAAAAAGTGCTATCGTGTCTCCCCTGATGCGTCTGAAAGCCAATGTTGGGAGTTGCAATGCCACAAATCTCACTTGGTAGGACAGGTCTGTCATACCCGGTATCAATTTAGCTGCTCTTCTCTGGACGTTTTCAATGGCTTCTATATGTTTTATCAGGTGCGGGCTCCACAATTGATCGGCATATTCAAAGTCCTTTGTATAGAGCTTTGAATGTATTATGGTCCATATTTTCCATAGGTCTCCTAGTTCGCTTTATTGATTTTTTTCAGATATATGTACATCAAATGACAATTTATTATCAATTGTTACATCAATATCTTTTTTCGTTTGCGGTAAACAGGAGTTCCTGACCATCTTCTAGGTTGTACGTGAAGTTAATGCTATCGTGTTTTCCTATTCTCATGGCTTTGCATTTGTCCGGATGGAGTGGAGTAGCCATTTGTAATTCCATGCCCGGGTCACTTGTAATTCCATGCCCGGGCCTTTAGCAAATCTTCCTGCAGAGCCTAACAGTCCTAATTGTTCGATATTGCCCCGTAAAATTTCGTATCGTCAGCGAAAAAGTTTATTCTTGTTTCTATGCTTGTTATTTCCGGTAGGTCGTTAATATAAGGCACAAATATATAGAATAGGTCCAAGAACAGATGCCTGTGGAATGCCACTACTGGCATCTTTCCTAGCTGACGTTTCCGGTTGTGAAGGGAAAGCATTGATCCAGCAATTAATCTGTGATGGGGGACTTTACCAAAAGCCTTCATGAAATCGTAATAAAGCACATCAACACATTTTTCCTCGTCAAAGAAATTCCATCCATTCATCAATCACTTGTATAAGGTGTAGTACGGTGGGTATTCCCTCGTCAAGACTTTACATCCACTCATCAGTCACTTGTATAAGGTGTAGTACGGTGGATCTTCCCTCGAAAAGATTTTACATCCACTCATCAAACACTTGTATAAGTTGTAGTACGGTGGGTATTCCCTCGTCAAGACTTTACATCCACTCATCAGTCACTTGTATAAGGTGTAGTACGCTGGATGTTCCCTCGTCAAGACTTTACATCCCCTCATCAATCCCTTGTATAAGTGTAGTACACTGGATCTTCCCTCGTCAAGACTTTAAATCCACTCATCAATCACTTGTATAAGGTGTAGTACGATGGATCTTCCCTCGTCAAGACTTGACATCCATTCATCAATCACTTGTATAAGGTGTAGTACGATGGATCTTCCCTCGTCAAGACTTGACATCCATTCATCAATCACTTGTATAAGGTGTAGTACGCTTCATGAAATCGTAATAAAGCACATCAACACATTTTTCCTCGTCAAAGAAATCCCATCCATTCATCAATCACTTGTATAAGGCGTAGTACGGTGGATCTTCCCTCGTCAAGACTTTACATCCCCTCATCAATAACTTGTATAAGGTGTAGTACGGTGGATGTTCCCTCGCCAAGACTTTACATCCACTCATCAATAACTTGTATAAGGTGTAGTACGGTGGATCTTACCTCGTCAAGACTTTATATCCACTCATCAATCACTTGTATAAGGTGTAGTACGCTTCATGAAATCGTAATAAAGCACATCAACACATTTTTCCTCGTCAAAGAAATTCCATCCATTCATCAATCGCTTGTATAAGGTGTAGTACGGTGGATGTTCCCTCGCCAAGACTTTACATCCACTCATCAATAACTTGTATAAGGTGTAGTACGGTGGATGTTCCCTCGCCAAGACTTTACATCCACTCATCAATAACTTGTATAAGGTGTAGTACGGTGGATCTTCTCTCGTCAAGACTTTACATCCACTCATCAACCACTTGTATAAGTGTAGTACACTGGATCTTCCCTCGTCAAGACTTTAAATCCACTCATCAATCACTTGTATAAGGTGTAGTACGGAGGATCTTCCCTCGTCAAGACTTTACATCCACTCATCAGTCACTTGTATAAGGTGTAGTACGGTGGATATTCCCTCGTCAAGACTTTACATCCACTCATCAGTCACTTGTATAAGTGTAGTACACTGGATCTTTCCTCGTCAAGACTTTACATCCACTCATCAGTCACTTGTATAAGTGTAGTACACTGGATCTTCCCTCGTCAAGACTTTACATCCACTCATCAATCACTTGTATAAGTGTAGTACACTGGATCTTCCCTCGTCAAGACTTTACATCCACTCATCAATCACTTTTATAAGGTGTAGTACGGTGGGTATTCCTCTTGATGAATCCAAACTGTTTATAACTGAAGTGTTCGTTATTTTGCCGATTGATAACCGTTTCTCGCACAGTTTTGTACAATACTTTACAGCAATCTAGATATGCTGACCTTGTAATTTATTGGTTATTCCCATGATATCCGTCATATAAATCCTCAAACAAAACAAGATAAACGTTTAATATAAGCTAGCAATTTTCTGTTTTCCTTTTCTATTGCTAACTTTTCAAAGCGTGATCATACTTTTTAAAGCTTAAGGAAACAACGACACAAACGCTAAATTCGATTTTCCTCCACTTTTATTTCACATGTTATATGCTTGCACAAAAGGATGTTTTTTTTTCTTAATAAATATCTGACGATAAAGTGATGCTTAAATTGTTTTTCTTTCTCACATTTCGTCTTTATATGACTTAAACACTGCTTGTACACACATACATGTACGATTCATGTAAATCATTAAAGTACCCCTCAGTTCAATATTAACCATTGCCCAACAACATTTCGAATTTAAAACATATTTCTCCTGATTTCCTGGTACAATTTTAAAGTTAGCTTCCTCGGCAGGCAAAGGAGGAATGTCGTATAAATTCCTATGATTAAGAGACATACAATTTTATCATTTTTCTTAAATATTTTTAAACCAAAATTGACTTTCTTATTCAGACAACCAGTATAACATACTAGATTATATATAATACAACCAATAAACTTGCTTTGTAGGATAATGTCTGAACGGTAAAAATATTTCAATTGCATATTATATTCTAAAATCAATATTTTCGCAGCTTTCTTTCGTTCACTTTATAAAAGATCTCATTATAAATTTCGGAATTCGTGAAATTTCTTGGATTAGAATATTCAAAATCTTCTTTGCTGCAAATGAAAATAGTGACTAGGTTTGGATTAATTGTATAACTAATAGACATGGTTACTGTAAATAGCTTGATTGTCAAGATGGTATTTCTTTATTCATGAAAAAAATGAGATTTCGTAAAAAGAAGGTAAAAAGATGCCTGTACCTTGTGTCTATATCTATATTTGCGATTTTCTCTTTCCATAATATACTCGTCAACGATAGGCGATTTATGTTATTTTACTATGTTTATACGGCACAAACTAAATCACCTTACCGTGTCAGTATTAACATTTTTATACCGCACAAACTAAATCACCTTACCGTGTCAATATTAACATTTTTGCTCCATGAATATGGAAAAGAAATAAACGAAATGTGTATCATTTTAAAACAATCACGTTATGTTGTTAACATATATAATGATTTTATCTATATCTACCATTTAACAAACAAATAATTGGTTTCCTTATGGCCCCTTTCTCTTAAACCATTCACAAAAAACTTATACCAGCAAATTTCATTACCCGACAACAACTTTTACTCAATCAACAACATGTTATCACTCCAATGCTCAATTTTTTCTTTTGAAATACCGACAGCTAAAATGAATTTTAATAATTAAATAAACAAGAAAATTAACGTAAATTTGTATAACAAAGTATATATTTAAAATGAATTGTTTCAAAACATTTGGACAGGCAAAAACACTAAGTGTTTTATATATATATATAGATATATATAACTATAACATGTATTCAAATCTGATAAAACAAATCCTGTGTTACATACAATGAATTGTATTGAATCAGGATCTCGTTTTGTTTTCTTGGGTTAATTATACATACTTTTAAGGTCGAACGTGATTATATTGTACTCGTGACAATGAAATATGCTGGTTTAAAAAATATGGATTTCAAAAACAATGACAATATTCAACAAACTAGTTAAACGTAACCTGAATATCAAGTTAAAAAAGGGACGAATCATGTGCAGTGAATCCGCAGTGGAAAAACAAACTTGATTATTTTTTCGTATAAAAAGGGTAGCGAACGGGAGGGCCGATAACTTGGATAGAGTCGATATATCAAATGAACAAAAAGCCTGTATTTATAAGTATATAACACTGATATAATGTCAAATGAAATATAAGAATACGTATAAATGGAGGACGATATCAATGGTACCGCTATTTGAGAGTACGGTTACTCACAGTATACATTTGTAAAAGTAGAACTTAATAATGATCAACCGATGTCGTACGCTCTTTATACCTAATATATATATCACGTGATTTTATATATACCTTATATGTAAAGCACGTGTTTTATACGCCTCATATGTAAAGCAGGTGTTTTCAAAAAAAGTATATATATCCTCTCTAAATGTTCCATCCATCTTACTTTAAATATGTCAATTTATATCCTATATCTAATTCCTACATGACATGTTTTAATGTAGATATGAATTATATGTACATAGTATGTCAATATTTATATAAATATTTTATATTAATATAAAAACAACAGTCATTCAAACACATGTGCACGCTTCGAATGACATATATTCAATCCCAAAATATACACAATACCTGCAGACATACCTGTACACGAACCGTACAATATAACATTACCCATCCTTACTTAAGTAATACTTTGGATCATCGTGTGGACGATGAGTTTGATTTTTCGTAGAATGTCATTGGGCAGATGGAAATAGAAATACCAATTTCTCAATATAGTTCGTATCCGGAACAAAGAAATTTCACTTATTAAGAAAACTCGGTACATGTATTTTATTCCTCGATATTTTATTTTTATAAAAAAAAAAATAAAAAAATGTATCTTTATAATTCAACTTTTTTGGTAATCTCCATTGCGTACTGTAGATCTCTTTAAGTGATTTTGAATCTGCAATAGCGAGGCTTAAAGAACACTTCCTAAGTAACAGTTTAATTATACTGTAGGTATTACAATTACATAAGTAACAGTTTAATTATACTGTAGGTATTACAATTACATAAGTAACAGTTTAATTATACTGTAGGTATTACAATTACATAAGTAACAGTTTAATTATACTGTAGGTATTACAATTACATAAGTAACAGTTTAATTATACTGTAGGTATTACAATTACATAAGTAACAGTTTAATTATACTGTAGGTATTACAATTACATAAGTAACAGTTTAATTATACTGTAGGTATTACAATTACATAAGTAACAGTTTAATTATACTGTAGGTATTACAATTACATAAGTAACAGTTTAATTATACTGTAGGTATTACAATTACATAAGTAACAGTTTAATTATACTGTAGGTATTACAATTTCAATGTACCATGGCAATGCTCAATTCTGATTCTGATGCACTTTTATATAATTACCTAGTATAAAAATGTACACAAAGAGAAGGCTTCATTTATAATATATTTGCAAATGACTTTTTTTCAAGCTTAGTTGTATCTCAATATGATGGCTGGATCTTTGCAAGATATATTCCAATTCGTTTGAAATAAAAATGTCTTTAGTTTGAAATAAAAATGTCTTATATTTAATTATTTATATATAAGGACACGTGCCTGGTAATAACACCCATACATCATTTTTTTCTATTACAGTATAAGTAAAATGAAGAGAACATATTCTTGTGAAAGTATCACATAGAATCCAGAGAACAATAGGATTGAATTCAACATAGCTATGATTGGTACCTGCTAGAGCTCATTCTATACATGATTGGTACCTGCTAGAACTCATTCTATACATGATTGGTACCTGCTAGAACTCATTCTATACAGCAGAGACACCATTGCACAGTTGGAATGAAGAAGTATCAATATTCTTTTTGTGTGTATTTTCAGACTTTATTTGCCAATTAAGAAAATTTCACATGTTACATAGAACCTTTAATTTCTCTATGTTTTCTGTTGCGATTTTGAAAGCTCACACTAAGAAAGTCTACATAATTTCACATCAAACTCGATTTCTGATCTACATGTCCGTTTCACAACGTTAACGTTTTTTAACATTGGCAGCATTTAAATTCGATTCTCTACGTAGTAGTAATTACGTTCTGCACTGAACGATACACAAAAGATGTGTATCATTGACAATCCTAGATGAAATGATGACATAAACTGATATAACTTGGTTCCTACTCCAACAAGTCGTGATGGGGTTTATATTATTGTTTTCTTTTCAAATAAACAGCATAAATCAATGTTTAATTCAAAACTGAAACATATGATACCTTTTACACAGCATCTATATCAATGATAGCAATGTTTGAATTCAATAGTAAATATATATTCTACCTTGTACATGACATTTATATCAATATTTTCTTTATATGAAAACCGCAGACATCGATGTTTGATTGTACATGACATTCCTATAAATATTTTCTTCATAAATAAACAGCAAATATTGAAATTATGAAACCGTGTACTTATTTTAATTAAAGATTTGCATGACATTATCTAATGACTCCTTTTTCTCATTGAACATTTATTTTATTTTAATGTAATTAACTATTAATTGAAATGGAGTATGATATAAACGGTATTCAACAAATTTCACATGGAAATGTCAACTAAATTAGGATGAATACGAATTAGGATTAAAAACAGTTTTGTCAGATAACCATATATTTTGACTGTCCCGCCTCGATAAATAAATTCCATATTTTTGTCATAACGGTTCGATTCCAAATTACCAAAATTATTCCAAAATTTTTTGATGTATTCCCTTCTTTTTGGCCTGAATCTCTCTATACGTAAATTGACGGGTTTTTTTCTTTCTTTTTCTATAAATATACTAAAGTTTACATTAACCGGAGAGTAAACTATTTAAGTTTCAACAAGACACTGATGACCTGCTCCTACACTAAGAAACAGAGGCCAAGGTCAGGGTCATAAAAAGTCATACAAAATGCTGTACTCATAAAAGGAGCAGAAACATATGATGTTGTTTGACCGTAGTACATAGCCTATAACTGACTTAAACACCGAGACAGTACCAGCTGGATGTATGGACCTGAATTTATCTCTCACACCAAAATTTAGGCAGACAGAAAACTGTTATTATAACATTCTATCAACAACAAATGAAATACTTCACATACAAATGTCTTAATGTATGTCATCAATTGCATATAAATTACATTTAATGAGAAAAAAAACTCTCAAACCAATTTATATTCACAGAGGATTAAACAAGAGCATTTGATAACATACATGTCAATCTCTGGACCATCCCATAAGGGGGATGAAACCGTAGAAAACTGTTTGCAGCATTTCTTCAGTTCCATGGTACAGTGAAACATAGTTTATCAATCAATGATCATCTTATATCATTTTTAAAGATTATTCACACCTTTAACTGTTGCATTCCAGAAGTACAACTAAAGAGCCAGTGACTGTCATGAGCTTAATTATCCTGTTCATTCAACCAATGACCAATGACAAACGCTTTAGGGGTCATTACAGCTAATTAGGTCAGGCTTGACCGGGTTTCACACCTCTTTGTGAGGTGTTATAAGGTGTTATTTGTAGTATCATTTGCATTACATGCTATAAACATTCGGCATTGACCTCTATGGGCCTTTTTTGCCACCTAAGATGGACGAATCTGGTCAGAATGATAAGATAGATGGACCAGACTGAGTCATATGTCTTCAGAAAAAGGAAAATATTGGGGTTCAGATCTACAGTGACAGTCCCTCTCATGGAAGGAAAGATGACATATGTGTGACAAAGGGAGGTAATTAAGAAGTCTCCAATTGTGGTAAAAATAATAATGATTAACAATATTTTCAATTAATGTATACTTAGTTAAGTTTTGAACAATTTTTACCATATTTACAATCCACTCTCATTTTCATATCACATTTTTCCTCGAAACATCACATTACACAGTCTCATGTGGCTTTTCCTAGATCAATTTTTTTCTGTATTGCTCTTGCCGAGTGATAAACCATGGAATCAATGAGGCCAGCAACTAAAACAGAATATGGGGAAAACGTGTTACTGTTATCAACAATTCACAGTAATTCCTTGTTATTTCTGACCACAGAGTATTTCTGGATCAACCATTCACAGTAATTCCTTGTTATTTCTGACCACAGCGTATTTCTGGATCAACCATTCACAGTAATTCCTTGTTAATTCTGACCACAGAGTATTTCTGGATCAAAATTTCACAGTAATTCCTTGTTATTAATTTTGGAGCAATTTTTCAGATCAACAAAAGCAAGTTTGGAAATATGAAAAAAGAATTTTGGTGATTATCTCAGCCTGGATTAACAAGACTTGAGTGAAAAAACAGTCTACAGAAAAATTTCACTCAATATCATGTTATTGAATGATTTTTTTTTCTTTTTTGTAACATTGGTTTTATTTCAACTGAAAGCTAAACAGTTTTATCTAAATTGTAAATATATATATATGTTCAGAAATTCAGAAAACTTCACTATAAAATTAAGAATGGTTGTAAAACAAGTAATTAATTGTTCATGATAAGTAACAAATGTGATTATTTTCATATAATATAAAGATAAGATAGCTGGGAAATGTTTTTATCATCTCGAAAATGTAAAGATAATTCTACAGGCAATAGCTTTTCCAAACTTGTCTCTCAGAAAGAAAGAAAAATACTCATGGCATCATCTGAAATTGTTTCTAGAAGCTGTTAAGATCATACATACCAGTAAACACTCCTCCTACAATGGCACACACTCCCGTCAAAAAGTGCATGAATGATCTGAAATAGCAAAATATTATGTTAATAATGAGTCACACCCTTTGTTTATAAAATATCAAGCCAATTTCCCCATATGGTTCCACTCTTATCCCTCCCCCTCATCCCCCTATCCTATCCCAATGTGCAGAGGTCGGAGAGGGTGGGGCACCCTCTGTTCCTATGCAAAAGTTCTGTTATGCCAAAAATGGTTGCTCCACACCAAAATTGTTAAAATCTTAAAGGAATCTATTCTTAATCTTTATTAAATTGTTTTACTTGAAAAGATTTATTAAGTATAAATCTTTATTCAGTTTGATAGAGATGATATCAGAAATCATTTTGTTATGAAGAGGGAAATAAGAATCATGAATAAGATGAAAAACATCAATCTTAAGTGACCCTGACCCTCCTGACAGCTGAGCTGAAAACTCCTGATATATGCTGTGAAACAAGATTGATAACAATTGCTGTGTACATGTAACTTACCGATGTTTTTCTGTATATTTAACCATCATGGGAGATAACTCATACATGACAAACACACCAGGAAGGCCACTTTCCCCTGTGGCCGCTCCTACCACCTTGGAATGTTTTGTCACAGAATACTGGTTGGTGAAAAGTGTCTGTGGATACAGACAAAATATGCATTAAAAACATCATTTCTACGAGAAAAGAATTAACTATAAAGTAATTCTATCAAGTGATGCTTAAACAGAAGTAACACAGAGTTCTGAATCGAGATGAGGGGGCCAAAGAGTTTTGCACATCCATGACCAGGTATTTTACAACAGCTATAAATGTACATACGCTTATAGGGTAGCCAAACCAAAGTTGACTTTATCTTGCCATCTTGTACATATTTTCCATCTTCTTCTTTTTTTGCAATTTATTGGTCATTTGTCTAATGAATGTGACAGAGTACATACTTTATAAGTCATCAACACTTTATCAGTTGTACTATATGAACTTTCTATAATAAATATTTACCAACTCGAAAAAAAATGTTTAGAAATAATTCAGTAATTAATTCCACAATTGTAAAATTCTGATATTTAGGAAAATTAACATACCGGTATATATATATGTATAATTTACCTTGCCATTGGTTTTAACATATGTCGTTGGGACTACTTTTACAAAGTATTGGAACATCATCTGATCTGAAATAGAGAAATGGTTTCATTTTAATTTCAAATGTCATGTTATCAATTAAAATAAGATGGATATGAGGTAGACCTGTCCATGTGTATTTTCTCCTCATGATGCCCCCGATTTAAATTATATTTTTTTGCCTTAATTGTATCCTTTACTTTTAACAAAAAAATAATACAAAAAATAATAAAAGTACAAAAATTGGGCTAAGCCGGGATTCGAACCCGGGACCTCGCGCACCCGAAGCGCGAATCATACCCCTAGACCACTTAGCCATGCCATTTGTGCAGCGATTAAAATTGACATTTTACTGCGATGCATGTCTTCATGCCCGTACTTTCTATTTCGATTTATGCAATATTATGTCCATATTAAACATACAACGGTTAACAATTAATTACTCAATTCATTTCTGTATACATGTGGATTTCTTATTTGTTCACTTCTACGTGGCATAATCTGTGACAGTTACCGGAAGTTACAGTTAACAGAAGAATCACGACTTCCGGTTTGGACTGTACCGATTAGATTCTTTTAGGTAAGCTCAAACATGACTAGAACATCTCTTTCTTGCTAACTAAAGACAACGAATGTAGGATTTATTCGACACTGAACACTATTTTGTCGACTGGATACTAGCAGATATTTAAGAATTACATTCTGAAATCACGTACGGTTTCATGACCATCAACTTCAATTCAAGTTCAACCACGCTTCACCGCAAGGTCGACAATTCACTCGGATTGCACGTTAATATTACAAGCTTACGAAACCGAGCTTGAAGTTGACGCAAGTTTATTTTTACCTCGGCAGTGGCTTATATCTAACTTTGGAAACATTGTCTGGGCGTGAAATGCTCTAACATTCTCCATGCGATGCATGTTCGTGTTTGAGTCGTCTCCTATTTCGACGGATCTCAATGACCAGTTAATGTAAAGACTTCTGTTTTTCGCAGTCCACCCAAATTGGAAATTGAACTCAAATGGGCCTATTTGTGGAATCTTTTTCTATTGGACTTCAAAATTGTCAATTTTTTTGGATTGATTAGGCAATCAGATATCATGAGTTTAATGTTTTGTATGTAACAGACATATTGTACAGTAGGTATGTACTTTGTGTGATTATATAGATGACACAGTGTACAGTAGGTATGTACTTTGTGTGATTATATAGATGACACAATGTACTATATGAAGATTATGAGGATACCAGGGGTCAACACTAACGGTAGACCGTAGGACAGGGTCCACCAAAATCTTGGTCCACTTAATCCTGAAAGTGGTGGACCGGCGTGAATCTGCTTGTATTAATTTGTCGGAAACTTTTCAGTGTTTGAGTCGCTCATGGTATAGTTTGTTGCAATCATTTATAATAATATCACAACACATGTACATGAAAAAAGAAATAGTGCATAATCTACTGATTTCTCTTTTTACAGAAATGCCTGTTGGAAACATAGGGTATGGCCATAGTGGTCCATCCTGCTTTGACAAGATGAAGATAGGATTCCTGATGGGCTTCTCTGTTGGGATGGCATCTGGTATTTTATTTGGTGGATTTTCAGCTTTAAGGTACAGATTCAGTCCAAAAAACCCCATATTGTTAACACTTGATACAATTAATATATATATCTGTGCATGCCCATGAACCCATCAAAACACTACAGAAATTAGAAGACATGTAAAATCAATCTAAAGTTATCTTTATTGCCATTGTGAATTTTGTACTTTAATCAAAAAAAAAATCTGTAAATGTTATTTTTTCTCTACTAAACTTTTGTAATTCATTTTTTACTAGTATTTAAATAATTTTTGATGGCTTCAGTCTGAGTTGTAGATAAATTATTGATAAAAACAAACAAAGATAATAGAGGTGAAAGTAAATAAAAAATGAAACATTTTGTCTACCTAGTATCCACACTCGGGTGGGAAAAAGACAAAGACAGTCAAGTACAAATTAATTTAAACAAAAGAATATTGTGAGCATTTTCCACTAACTCCTTAAGTAGAAAAATACAAAAATATCTGACTCCTGCCTTCAAAATAATAATAATGATAATTCAAGGTTCTTATATATATACCAACTTAATCACAACCTAGTTCCAAGGTCGTCTCAAAGCGGTTCACAAATTATTATCCATGGTTATAGGGCCTTTGCAACCAGCTAATATCGTTCTCAACTCCCTGGGAAGCACACAGCCTGCTTTCAACAATTCTAACAATTCTATTATCTAAATATCTGACTTCTGTCGTCAGTGGAATATTACCCAGATATCTGACTTCTGTCGTCAATGGAATATTACCCAAATATCTGACTTCTGATTTCAGCAGAATATTACCCAAATATTTCACTCCTGGCTTCAGTAAAATATTTCCCAAATATCTGACACCTGACTTCAGTGTAATATTACCCAAATATTTGACTCCTGATTTCAGTTGAATTTTACCTAAATATTTGACTCCTGGCTTCAGTAAAATATTACCCAAATGTCTAACCCCTTACTTCAGTAGAATATAACCTAAGTAAGTGGAGTGTATACGAAGCGAACACTTGGCTAGGGAGGATGCCCAAATATCTGACTCCTGAATAATATTACCCAAATATCTGACTCTTGATTTCAGTAGGATATTACCTAAATAATTGACTCCTGACTTTAGTAAAATATTACCCAAATGTCTAAAACCTGACTTCTGCAAAATATTACCCAAATAATTGACTCCAGACTTCAGTTAAATATTTCCCAAATATCTGACTCCTGACTTCAGTGTAATATTACCCAAATATTTCACTCCTGACTTCAGTGGAAATTTAACGAACTATTTGAATCCTGGCTTCAGTAAAATATTACCCAAATATCTGACTCCTGACTTCAGTAGAATATTACCCAAATATCTGACTCCCGATTAGTTGAGCCATAATCACAATGTATTGAAACGAAACGTGATGGCTTACACCCCCCCATAAAAGAGTGATGCATAAATATCTAAATGAAAACTAATGTATTTATTCGTGTCTTGTGTTACAGATATGGTTTACGAGGGCGAGAGTTGGTACAGACAGTCGGAAAGACAATGTTACAAGGTGGTGGGACGTTTGGGACATTTATGACAGTTGGCACGGCGATACGTTGCTAGCCAATCATACATTTAATAGGACATTTATGACAGTTGGCACGGCGATACGTTGCTAGCCAGTCATACATTTAATAGGACATTTATGACAGTTGGCACGGCGATACGTTGCTAGCCAGTCATACATTTAATAGGACATTTATGACAGTTGGCACGGCGATACGTTGCTAGCCAGTCATACATTTAATAGGACATTTATGACAGTTGGCACGGCGATACGTTGCTAGCCAGTCATACATTAGGGCATTTAACGAAATTTTGTGACTCATCATATAATTGAACACTGCTCAATGTACAGGAAGAGTCAAAACAAACCACAGAATCATTTGGTCCATTAATGTCGGTCTACCAGTGTACTGTGGTTTCACAGGGGAAGTCACTCTGGTGAAAATGAAGTGTTAATGTTACTACTTGACTATAACCATACTACTGGAGTGTGAAAATACTTATATTCAGCGAAGAAGACTTAAAAACATGGTAAAAAAAGTGTTGATGTGCATTTTGTGTGTATAATTCCGTGGAGATATTTAAAGCATTAAGGATGCCACTGAAAGGGGAACCAGTAATCATATATATAATCAGTTGAAATATTATTCTGCTTTGTGATGCAATGATATTGCACCTAATAATCAGGAACTGTATCACAGTTTTCACAAGATGTTAATAATAGGCATTCTGTGATGTATCACTTCATTTAATTCTCCTAAATGATTATCATATATGACAACAGAATTCCTCACATTCTTGTTTAAAGGAGTCGGGACTTGTCATTTTATACATGTGGATGTCTATGTGTAGTACCACGAGTTTTCAGGGTTTCCAGACTTCTGTTTACCATGTGGGTCCACTCCTGTACTTGAATGTGATTCTATACAATGACCTGTTTCATTTAATTAATCATGTCTCATGCCATTGACAGAACATTCATGAATAAACAAAGTTAAAAACAACCTACATTATTTGTCTTCTATATATATATGTAAGGTAGCTGAATAAAGTTCTTCTCAGCTGCATTACACAGATGATCCTACATGGCTAGGGCCAAACAATAATTTTTAATAATATTAAACCACAGCTATATTCCAAATATGAATATTGGTGTGTTGTGGGGGGCACTTATAATTGATTTAACAGATACAGCTGACTCAGGACCTTGATACTAGACTCAAGGAGAACTTAATATTTCACAAATGAACAGCAAAATACTACAAGTATTTTTTGTACATGCTGGAACAGTATCTGTTAGTACTGTAATGCCTGATCGGGGCCATTGATAGTATCCATGGTAAACAGAACAGTTTAAGATGTGACACAACATTCGGTTTTGGCTTAACCCTTTCACCACCATAGACCATAATGGACCTATCCAGATCAATGCATAGTAGATTTTATTCAAGTTACATAGGGGTGAAAGGCTTAATATAGTGATGATTAGTTTGTCATCTATGATTAAATATGACGATCTCATTCTTATTATTTAACAGCAATTAATGCTCTGAAAGACGGACCTGAAACGAAACATTTTGGCTGAATATGTGCCTTTGAACCTACTGACTAACACAGATATTAGAACTGACCTTTAATTAACTTGTTTGATGTATCGTGACATAATTGTATATTGATGCAAGAATCACAGGAATAGGTTTCGAATACCAGCTGTCGAATAATTAAAATTATCAAAAAGAATTATATATGACAATACAAACCTTCCTCGGCGACTTGGTTAGTATTGTCCAGCGGGTTGATGATGCCTGGGTAATCTTTACCAAAGGAAAGGTGTTGGATGGCATGTGTTATATTAAACTGAAACAGAATTAATTTAATATTAAATTCATTTATTTTTTTGGAAGAGTTGTGACTTTATCGAAGTCTATTTAGAACTGATTTTTATGCAGTTTACAGTTCACACACAAACCTAAATTATGGTTAAATATAACAATTTCACTGGAGATGCTGTCTATAAATCATTATCTTTTATTGTACAGATCGAGGTCTGCTATAACTGCCAGAATTCAAACCCAAGTCTACAATCAATGACTCAGATATTGTCACATGTACTTACTTTCTGTCCACCAAATGCTTGCAGGTCATGAACTACAAAAACAAATGGAGATAAAATAAACATGGCTTAAGCAGACATACATATACGTATTTAGAAATGCTCCAAAAAATTGAAATCCTCATTCAGAAACTAGACATATGTCACTACATAACTGACAAAGCTGTTGTGGAGTTAGATGCAGTGTTTCATTATTCCTAAGTATATATGTTATAGTATATTATAATGTCATCACTTAAGCACCTTATTTGAGAACATATTTAGATCCAACTTCATGTATTGGTCAAATATGAGAATGCCTCAAAAACTTTGTGACATGGTTCAAATGTCAAGGTCACCTTATTTCTACTGTCAGTGGTGGTACATGTATATGCTTCCATTATCTCACAAAGAATGATAACATACCATGAGCATGATGTTGCTGGAAGCTTTTTCCTGGAGCAAAATGGAAGTTACCAGCTACTTTATTGACCTCCAGATAGCCGTACACCTACAACATAGACATCACGGTTAGATAGCCATACACCTACAACATAGACATCACAGTTAGATAGCCGTCCACCTACAACATAGACATCACAGTTAGATAGCCGTACACCTACAACATAGACGTCACGGTTAGATAGCCGTACACCTACAACATATACGTCACGGTTAGATAGCTGTACACCTACAATTTAAACGTCACGAGTAGATAGCCGTACACCTACAACATAAACGTCAAGAGTAGATAGCTGTATATCTACAATATAAACGTCAAGAGTAGATAGCTGTATATCTACAATATAAACGTCACAAGTAGATAGCCGGATACCTACAATTTAAACGTCACGAGAAGATAGCCGTACACCTACAATTTAAACGTCACGAGTAGATAGCCGTACCCCTGCAACATATACGTCACGGTTAGATAGCTGTACACCTACAACATAGACGTCACGAGTTGATAGCCGTACACCTACAATTTAAACGTCACGAGTAGATAGCCGTACACCTACACCATAGACATCACGGTTAGATAGCCGTACACCTACCACATACACGTCACGGTTAGATAGCTGTACACCTACAACATAGACGTCACGAGTTGATAGCCGTACACCTACAATTTAAACGTCACGAGTAGATAGCCGTACACCTGCAACATATACGTCACGGTTAGATAGCCGTACACCTACAACATAAACGTCACGAGTTGATAGCCGTATACCTACAATATAAACGTCACGAGTTGATAGCTTTACATCTACAATATAAATGTCACGAGTAGATAGCTGTACACCTACAATATAAACGTCACAAGTAGATAGCCGTACACCTACAATATAAACGTCACGAGAAGATAGCCGTACACCTACAACATAAACGTCACGGTTAGATAGCCGTACACCTACAACATAGACGTCACGAGTTGATAGCCGTACACCTACAACATAAACGTCAAGAGTAGATAGCTGTATACCTACAATATAAACGTCACAAGTAGATAGCTGTATACCTACAATTTAAACGTCACGAGAAGATAGCCGTACACCTACAATTTAAACGTCACGAGAAGATAGCCGTACACCTACAACATAAACGTCAAGAGTAGATAGCTGTATATCTACAATATAAACGTCACAAGTAGATAGCCGTATACCTACAATATAAACGTCAGGAGTTGATAGCCGTATACCTACAACATAAACGTCACGAGTAGATAGTCGTATACCTACAATATAAACGTCACGGTTAGATAGCTGTACACCTACAACATAGACATCATGGTTAGATAGCCGTACACCTACAACATAGACATCATGGTTAGATAGCCGTATACCTACAACACCTACAACATAGACGGCACGGTTAGATAGCCATACACCTACAGCATAAACGTCACAAGTCGATAGCCGTACACCTACAATTTAAACGTCACGAGTAGATAGTCGTATACCCACAATATAAACGTCACAAGGTGATAGCCGTACACCTACAACATATACGTCACGGTTAGATAGACGTACACCTACAATATAGACGTCAGGAGTAGATAGCCGTATACCTACAATATAAACGTCACGAGTTGATAGCCGTACAACTACAATATAAACGTCACAAGTAGATAGCCGTACACCTACAATATAAACGTCACAAGTAGATAGCCGTATACCTACAACATAAACGTCAGGAGTTGATAGCCGTATACCTACAATATAAACGGCACGAGTAGATAGCCTTATATATTTTTATGTTATTTTGAGACATATAGATAGATAAATTCAGCAATGCAGTTTCAGTCACTTTTCATGCACTTTCTCCCTCATTGGAAATTTGGAATGAGGGATATCTCCCACATTGGTGGTTTCTGAGGTTGACACCTAAGCGATATGACAAGATTTTCAGGAGTCGTCCTTCTTTGGTTTGATATCTAATCTACCTATTGAATGTTTGGAAGTTTTATTTTTATAGGCAATCATTATCGGTATAATGAGGTATTTCTTCTTATTATATTACATCCTAGATAATTCTTTTTTGGCAAAAAAATCAGTGAGCCCAAAAATCAAGACCTTAGCTTGGATAAAATACAAATCAAACAAATGATTGTCCAAAATATTCCCATTATCATGAGTATATACATGGTTGATGCTAGTGTTGAAATCAGTCTTTTAGTTTCTATACCTGACATCCTTCGTTCTTCTGCGACTTCATTTTGTCTGACCATCCCTCACGTTCACACTGCGAGATCCCCTCCGCGTTATTGAATGCCCAGCCTTTCTTCCTGTACGCCTCCCTTACATCCTCACAGTTGTTACAACACCTGGAAAACATAACATTGTTGACCTCAATTTTCTTTCTCAGACCCTTCAGCTCAGTTTGTATTGATATGTCTGAGGTAGGACCCTACAGCTGAGTTTGTATTGATATGTCTCAGGTAGTATATATAAGTATAAGTATATACAAAAAAAGACAAGAGTTTCTTCGACTTCCTTAGCCCTTTCTCCTCTTTAGAGGTTCATCAGGAGAACTGTTTATTCATGTTGACAGGACAACAACACAACACAGACAGTGATGACGTCATGATACATTTTTCACATACATTTTCTTTATTTATTCATGCAACGATCTGTGTTGTTAGAACAACTAAAACCAGGTTTTAATATATTGATAAACATTGATTCTTTTGACTCTCGCTGTACAGTGTCTTCTGTAGCTTGATTATATAGGAAAAAGTATAGAGTAGTACATTGTATAGATATACATGTATTCTATTCCGTCTTTGCGTATTGCAGAGTTATCTGTTCTTGTGAGCAGGTATTGATTGTTACGTCATTGGTTTGTGTGAGAAAATTACGTCGTTTTTTCAAAAATTGATGATGTTACTCTCACAAACAAATGACGTAACAATCAATACCTGCTCACAAGTGCAGATAACTCTTCAATACGAAAAGACAGAATACAAACGGTAAAGAACTAAAGGTATATATTTTAGCATAAATTGTATTTTAGCATGATTAACACAAACTTAACCCTTTCACCCCTATGTAACTTTAGTAGACTCTACCACGCATTGATCTGGATGAGTTCATTATGGTCTACAGTGGTGAAAGGGTTACTTGATGTTTTGGTGTATTGTTTTCTATTACAAATGTTGTGAGTTGAAATTCATCAATGTGCTAAATGAGTTTAAAGTTTATTTGCTGAATATTTTGTTGGCTAAAATAAGTTCATTTAATTACAAATGTTTGATACTTATAATAGTTTTTTTTCTTTTTAAATACAAAGCAGTTTGAAGTTTGAGTTCGAGAGATACCTGAAGAAAGTTACAATTTCATTAGAAAACTTTTTTTCACATTATAACATTTTTGAAAAATTATCATTAGAGCAAACAATTGGAACAAAAGCCTATTCTCAAACAAATCGACTGTTGAAATCTGAATTAGATCATTTTACATGTATATGGACATTTTCACAAACATTGCAAATAACAATTTTTGGAAATACTAAATTTTGAGGTGAAATATTGTCAAGTGGGAAAAAAATCTGGTTAAGAGGTGGATTTTAAAAATTAAAATTGAACTTAAATTTCTCATTGTTTTTATATGGCAGTTTCAATTAACATTAGCCTTTTTAAAATTAAGTTTCGACACCAATTTTTCAGAAGAAAATGATATTAAAATTGTAAAGGGGTGTAGCAAAACATATCTTAGAAGTAAAGTCCCATGTATTACTTGTTTTGCTTCCATGTGGAATTAGGATGGCATCAATGTAAATAGTACGTACTTTTTACCATCTGTCTCTGCTCCATAACAAGACTCACAGCGACTTGGATCAAGTGCCTTTGTAACCGTCTGCAATATAAGAATTTATTCAAAACATTAACAAGGTAAAGGACTGAAATAGTGGTTTTAGATTTAGTGTTTGTACATATAAATATATTTACAGTGTAACTCAACACAAAAAAATAGGTCTATTCTGAACCAGGTAAATGAAAAGAGGCCCAGAGGGCCTGTAACGTTCACCTGAATATTTAAGCAGTCATAGCAAAATATTCTCATTAAATGCTATACTGTACTACAAATGTTTCACTTGCAAACTTTGTTGACTCCATCTGTTGAAACTACCAGCCAATATTATTTATGATTCTATGTTTTTTTGGTTCTTCTTCAGAAGTTGATTGAAGTGTTTGACATTTTCCCCTGTGACCTTGTAAGTAGGTCAAGGTAATTTTCCTTCTCAAACTTTATTGGCTCTATCCCAAGAAGCTACCAGGCAAATCTTATGAATCCATTCCTTTTAGTTCTTCAGAACAAATAGTTTGAACTGTTGTTGACCTCTAGATCTGTGACCTTTAAAGTAGGTTGATGTCATTTTCATTTGCAATCATTGGTGAGCTCTATCCTGAGAAGCCACCAGCCAAATATTATGATTCTATGCCTTTCGATTATTCTTCAGAAGTTGTTTGTAGTGTTTGACATATTTGACCGCTGTGACCTTGAAAGTAGGTCAAGGTCATTTTCATTATCAAACTTTGTCAGGCTCCAACCAACGAAGTTGACGGACGACAATGAACGACAGACGCCACACCATGACATAAGCTCACTTGCTTTTCGGGCAGTTGAGCTAAAAATATGGGGTTGGAGGGAGACATTTACAATTGCGAGGGTGTGTGGGGTGGTGGTCTACAGCATTTGTAAACAATATATGTAGTATAATTGGCTTCAGAAAAAGATGTGGGTTGTGGGTAAATACAAAGAAATGCCCTTTAAGTCTCCATGTGTGCTGCAGATTATCATTGTTTATAAGATATATCACAAGACGAAGTGTTAGTACAGTATTTCAAATATAACTTCAAGCAGAGCATTTACTATTTTAATATAAACTTTGACAATTGTAAATAAAACATGATACAATGTATCTGTTTTGTAAAACATCTCACTAAAATGAGCTTACCTCTACTATGTCTTTAGATTGATCTCCTAGTGCTGAAAAAATCAAACCAATTAATTAGTTCCTGCTTATGGATTGACTGGTAAAAGGGAAATTTTATAGCATTACAGTTTTATAACCCAGTAACTTTTCATAGTTTCATATACAAAATGTATGCATATACAATTTATCAACCCAGTGACTTTTCATTCATTCATACCTGTCATATATATACATACAACTTAACAAAATTATTTACCGGTATTTTTAAATTCTGTTTATTGTAAATCTCTATACAAATGTAGATGACATCAGCTGTTTGGACAGGCAAGTATTTAATGTTCCATATCGGGTAAGGTTTAAAATGAAGAGGAGATTGACAGTACCTGGGACTGGTAAGGATACTGGGTAGTTCCAATACGTAATCAGTGAAGTTCTTTTGGAAAAGGTGATATAAAACAAATGTTATTCCTAAAAATTATGGTCTAACAAACTTATGTTATGGCCCAAACCAAAAAGACCATAACACTGTGACTGAAGGACCATGCTCACTGATGATGGTACCACAGTATGTGACACTCCACCATTTTATCATAGAGATTGGTCACCCTAAATTGCCTGACTAAACGAGTGAGACTCTGCAAAGAGAGGTCAGAGTGTACAAAACATTAGTACACAACCAGAGGTGTACAACTTCTTATTTAGAGAACTATCCTAGAGGCAGATTGGGAAAATTGATATGCCTACTTATATTTTTATAGTAAATATTGAGAATGTTCACTATAGTCCTGATGTAAACTACTAGCCCCCGGCATCAAGCTAGTGGAACCGGGCACCTCTGGCAACTGTTGTTATGTCAAGATGTGTGTGATAATAGAAATCCCCTCGGTCAAACATTACAGGAGTCATGGTCAAGACGCCAAAGGACAACAACAGACTGATAACAGTACATATTGAGAAAGAAGAAAATTATTTGGGGAAATATACCCAAATAAAATCACTTCAGCTATGTGTACATTTTACTGTACATACAACAAATGAAAAGTCATGATTAGGTGTCACCATACCTAGGCAACACAGAGTATCATAAAAACCTGGGTAATTTGCACAGATTTTTGTGCTGAAATAAAATTTGTAGACGGAGGTAGGATTTAAATTGAAGCCTTGATAGGGGTCAAGGGACCAGGCTCTGGTGGGGGTCGAAGGGTGAGGCCCCGGTGGGGGTCAATGGGTGAGGGTCAAAACGTAGAATTTAAACAGCATATCGAGCAAAACCAGTAATTGCATCTTGTTAAACAAATCATCAACAAAAGTATTAAGAGTGTGATATAATCTAACATCATTACTCTTTATGTTTATATATGAATCATCACAACCACAAATACTGTGTTCACTAAAAGTTACAAATATTGTTATTAATTCATCATTTTACAAGTATAAGAGCCTGGACTATTTACGTCAATGATGTTGTAAAATTCTACTTTCTGAAGTATTAAGAAGTCTTGACTAACTAGGTTAACTTAGAGTGTTAGAACTAGCTGTGTGGTAACAAAATTAATACATATTTTCTTAATGTTCAAGCCTGGATTAGATATGTATGATATTATGTAATGTGAGTAGCATACTTTCTTTCTCTGGCTTGTCATCTTTGATATTGCCATCCTGATCGAGTCGCTGTTTGAACAAATGGTGGTCAACATCAAGTTGCTGTTCGCCAGAAACATCCATGGCATCTATACTGAGATCTGTAATATAAAGAGTTTGTACAAAATTAACCCTTTCATACTGAGCCATCCCCTCACAAAAACATCTTTGGTGCTATATTAACCCTTTCACCACTAAGTAACTTTAGTAGACTCTCCCATGTATTGATATGGATGAGTCTATTATGGTCTTCAGTGGTAAGGGTTAATATTTTAAGTTATACAAACTTATATTAGTGTGGTGTGGAGACACTGTATGTGTTTTATATGTCTTCTGGTAGGAAATTCAACCTCCAAATCACTGTGTACATAAACTGTCCTTCAGGGGAAGCTTTTTGAATTCTTGTTTGCAGGGATTCATTGGTGAAAGGGTTAAACTGGAAATTTCCAAAGATTTAGTCCTCCATAAATATGGCAATTACTTGTCCTGAATGACAAACATAAAACTATATCTACTTTTCAATTATTTGTGTTTCTTGTGATTTCTAAATTTAACTTATCGGTAACTCCCAAATCTACATTGTAGCTTAACCCTTTCACCCCTATTTAACTAAGTACACTCTTCCATGCATTGATCTGGATGAGTCCATTATGGTCCACAGTGGTGAAGGGTTAATATAGGTGAAATGTCAAGGAAGCTATTACCATAACAACAATATCCTACCATAATACATCTTGTCAAAGAGATCTGTTTGGAATGATACTTACATGCACATGGTATTTTTGCAAAAGTAGCGTTGATGTTGATGTTGAGTTTCTGGCCTCTGGTGGTGTCAACAAATAACTCTGGTTGGATATCCGTAGTCAGATAATAATTTAACTCTGACAGGAACAGGACAAACATCAGCAGTCCACTAAAAATGGTAACTGAAAAAGTCAATTAGATAGTAAAACACACTAGCTGGAGCATTGTCATAGTCTTTGATAATATAGTCATATTGCAAGTTTCTGGTTGTTTCACCCTTAAATCTGTTTGTCAAATGTTGTGTTGTGTGAGGTTGTTCAGGGGTGGATGCTGGATTTTTAAATGTGGACCCCCGCCCATGCACACATTCTCAGAGGTCCCCCCCCCCCTTACACAAGAGTAAAACTATCATGTTTTAGTAGTGTGAGGCTAATACATACAGTCTTATATTTTTTTTTATTGTCTTATTTGTTCAATGGACTCGTATACACATGGTGGACCAGATCTCCACAAACCAAACACCTGATGTTCATCTCCCCCCTCCCCCCCTCCCCATTATTAATATTTAAACAGATACTTAAAAATATATATTTATTTTGGCGGAATAACCTTGGGTGACCTGGATTTGGAATGGAATGACCTATAGGGCGAAACGACCTGGATTCCAGGCAAAAGTGAGTCTGGGTCGTTTCGCCCGTTATCCCTTTCGCACTTCGGTTCATTTAATCCCAAATCCATAAGCCGGTTTAATTTGTGCTATATAACCAAGGTAAGCATAGAACCCGGTTAACTCATTAGCAAACAGACATTCAAATTACTTTTATTTATTTGTTTGTAATATATCTCAATAATTGTTGAAGTTCTCCTTAAAACGTAATCGAGTTACCGACTTATTAATCTTGCAATCTTTATCAGGTCCAGTACACTCTGCCGATTGAGCTATATAGCTGTAAAGACCTATAATAGCTCTATCTGAAAGGTTCCGGGTTGTTTCGCCCCAAATCCTGTTCGCCCTAGGTTGTTTTGCGCCAGGTTGTTTCGCCCTACAACATTTTTTTAGGGCGAAACATTGTTTGGTATTTTCTTTTCATTTTTATTTGTTTTAAGTCACAAATTAAGTCTTCTTAGTCTTTCATATCATTAAAATCAGTTTTATTTTTAAAAAAAATGTGTTTGTGTTGTTTTAAGTACATTTTAAAGCAAAAAACGGATTACGTTATTTTCTTAACGCCGACACACATTATAACATATATTGAATTGAATTTTAGAAATAAGCAAGAATAGAGAAATGAAACAAAAATGGTGTAATTTTAAAAATTGCGGGGTATACAACAATATTATTTTCCATGTTAACACATTTAAATTAGTTTAGTGTACGGCTGTACGCATACTCGTCGCCGTGTGACGATGTTTTCTTTACTTGATTTCTGCACAAGTCCATGTTGTTTTTTGCTAATTGGAGATTATGTCCATTTTGAGAAGTTTTGATAGTACCACGGAATTAGATTTAAGTCCGTGATAGTACCGACCAATAAAAATTAATATGCATATTTGAGTAGATAATTTTGAGTAGGTAACTTGTCATAAATAGAGCATTTCTCAATACTGTGTTATAATTCAACATTAGACGCAGACAGCATGTGGCTATCTGAAGTGATGTGTGTGACTGTTGGCAGCATAGAACCTGGCAGCATAGAATCTGCCAGACTGGCAAGTACATTATTATACAAGTATATTTAATGTATTTTGATAATTCCCTAAGTAAATTGCCAACGTTTATTTCATAATTCAAATGTACACATCTGCTTAACAATTAAAATACGTATCTATGTACTTGGGTAATTATTTACATTTCGTATACGACTCTAGAGAAATTATTAATTTTTGTTCATTATATGTCCATATCTTATCTATATATTATAAGTATTGTACTTAGAGAAATTAATTTAGTTTCATTATATGTCCATATCTTATCTATATATTATAAGTATTGTACTTAAAGAAATTAATTTAGTTTCATTATCATGATATCCATATCTTATCTATATATTATAGATATATATAATTAAAGTATTAATTTCTTTTCATTCTTATACGCAATTTGTACCTAATCTATGTCCATTTCGTATACGTATCTATGTACTAAGAGAAATTTGTTTTATATAAAATGGCTGACGTGACAGGGTGCTTTTTAATTGTTTATATCATGTTTTAAATATTTTTAACGTTAAAATATATACAGGTGCATTTTATAAAGAACAACATTACTTAATTAAGGTAAAGAAATGAAAACGATAATATACAGTATATTCCGGATATTAGTATGTCCGTTGTAGGATTCGGTGATGAATATACAGGTTCGTTCTTCACCTTCCGGCACGTAATTATATCTTGATTCAAGAGAAAGATATTTTCTTTTAACTTTTAACATGATATTTATGACTTAAAGAAAAAAAATGTTTTTTAGGGCGAAACAACCTGGGGCGAACGGGATTTGGGGCGAAACAACCCTTAGGGCGAACGTGATTTGGAGCGAAACAACCCGTTACCATCTGAAATAGGTATTTTGAGCTATTTTCAAGTGATTTTCTTTTTTAAGGAAAACGGAACAAAGTCGCATTTAAGAGAAGATTGTATCATTAGGTTCATAACAAAAGACATAAAATATAAGTTCTCTTTTTAAAAATAATGATGTAAAGAAATCGGAAATTTTAAATTTATGAAAAATGAAAATATACATCTAGCTGTATGCTTTTTGTAGTCAACATTACCATTAACATTACTGTTTTATGCGACTTTGCTTTAATTTAATGAAATTTGAAATCTGAGAAAATATTGCTCAATACAGCTTTAATTTATAGGTGTATATAGCTATATAGCTCAATCGGCAGAGTGTACTGGACCTGTTTATGTCAAAAGCGGACAACAAATCAAATCAACAAACGATCATCAGCTTACTCGTAGCTCCGCCAAAGGTTTTCACGCGGAAATCTTCAAGCGTTTTTGGGTATGCATCAAATTGGCGCAGTCTTTCCAATATCGAATTTTTCTCCATAGCGTATTTCCTTTTTCTGTCATACAACAAATGTTATAAAGATTTGACGAATTGAACAACCGAACGTGTCGGCTTTTAAACAGGAAGTAGACACTTGAATGTGGTTTCAGAGTATAAAAGAGTTCCACACAAGGGGAGAAACGGATGTCATACGATTTCGGTTCAATATCGACCCATAAAAAAAAATGCCCCATACATGTAGCCACAGACATTCCTTTATGCCAGAATCAAGAGGGATTGTATTTTTGTGATTCGATATAATTTGTGTATTTTCTCCCTGAATATGCTGTTCAGTTAGACTTAAATCCAGTATACTGTCTTAGTGTAGAAACAGCGGGTTTCAAATTAAAGTGTTAAGTAATCGTTTACCTTTAAGTAATCAGTATAGCTAAATTAATAAACCAAATGTGTCATAAAAACCAGAAAACCGATGTTATTACGACGTAGCAGACTCGAGGGGTAATAACTTCGACAAGTAAACTCTTTCCAATCAAGCCTCCCGTCAAAACCTTTCCTCTACCCTCCGGATCCTCTGACATTAATCTTTACATTGTTGAAGTTGGTCAGTAGGCACTGTAGAAGTAGAACCAGCTATTATAAATGTATTGACCTTACTGTAGGGAAACACGATCCTTTGTTTCTTTCATGTAAATCATGCATGGTTACCCGATTTTTGTCATCAAGTTGACGTTATTTTATGTACCAAATTATGTCCAGCAGCTTTATTTGCTGTATTCTAACTCGTTTACATCCTGTCATTATACGCCGATGGTACGGATAGATATATTTCTTTATTTCTTTTATTTCCTCTCGATAGAGAGATTACAAATATTGCATTAATGAATACACAGTATTAGAAAAAAAAGCACAGTTCATTTGTTTCTAAACATTTTGTTAGCAACTACTGAGTATTTACCATTTATATAAACATTTTAGAAGCACTCTCACATGTTCGGTATTTCATTTATATAAGATATATATTATTATATATTATACGCTAATATTATACCATAGTTGTCCATTACAGTCAAATCTCCGACAATGTCAAGGGTTGGACACCAGTTCACGTACGTGTACATGTAATGTATGGTTCATATCAATCATCATTTGTTTTAGATCAGGAAGTATGCCGATCATAAAATGCTCCCAGTGATCATTATTTAGCCCTATTCCGTCTTTGCATATTGCAGAGTTCTTAACCACATTCTTATAACAAATGGTTTCCATTGACCATGACACGGAACAAAAATATCTGGAAAAATCATAAAGGAAGTTTTCAATATGGAATTTGCTCATTGTTTCTAAAATATCTGGAATGAAGCCGTACACCCTTTCTCTACTAGCAAATAAAAAGTCGCACAAGCGCGTTATGAAAATCTTTTTCTCTTTTTTCAGATGAACATTAAGCTAGCACGACAAAGCTTATTCCAAAACATTAATTTGCGGTGTTTAACTTGACTCCAAACATCGAAAACTCTAACAGACTGAGTTGTTGTTGCCGTTCGAGATTGTTTTGAATACCCACAACGTCTTCTAACAGCATATTAAATCAACAAATGAATCCATTTTTCTACACGATGTAGTTGAAATGTTAATTACAGAAATGCGTTTTTTAGTTTTGTGTACATTTTGTTATCAAACATTGATTGCTGAAGCCATAACAATACATCGATGATGACATACACTGCATTTGATTGATCCTCTGTCAATTGGTCCAGAGACGTATAACCACGGAATTAAACTGCAATCTAAGTCGATTGGTTTTACGTCCGCTTCATTACCGAGTAGTTCGGTTATCCATCAAACCATTAGTCCGTGGTATACTATACCGCTGTAGTGTATATACGTCTGTGCATAGGAGGGCAACGGGTACTAGAGAATCATATAGACATAATACAACTACTGCTTTTTTTCTTCGACTACCTAATCTTCCGCCATATATTTCGTTACAATATGGACTTAAATATGTAATCTGTAACTCGACTTTGTACGAACATCGTGAGATTTTTTCTCCGTGCTGGTATACCCCAACCCAACCCGACTGACCTTTCATTTCAGAATATTTTATTGTACTGATCTTATGTACAAAAGGAATTGGGCAACAGGCATAGCCTATATAAGCCCTCTCCTTACAAAACATAACAGTATATACATATCATATACATGTTACTTTTACAGATGTTTCTTTAAGTATTAAAATATTATTATTTGTACTGTAATGAACAGTTATGCAAGTTATTGAGTGTGTGTGCGAACCAGTGGCGTTTATTTCCGGTGTCCTGTCGAGAGGTACGTGTGTACGTTTGGAGTATTGTCAGCTTAACGTGATCGTGTAAATAAACCATGTGTAATCAGTGTTATGTTGCGTTTGTGGTTTTTACATAGCTTTTGGCATCGGCTGAAAGCGCTCGTAAGACCAGAAAGTTAGTGACGTCATAAAAAATTGGGATAACCTGATTTACCCCAGAATGTTTTGAGCTAGCAGTATATAAGCGAGGCTTCATCTCATTCTGGGACATAGTGGATGATATCCTGCGGTTGGTGGAAGAATTTAGTCGGTCTGGGGCTAATGTTTATGTCGTGGAGCTTTTGCCTAGATGGGATGTCTCCAAGGTTCCTGGCCTTAGTCTGAAGTCATATCGGAAAAGCCGTCTTGTCATTAATTCATTATTGGAGAAGAGGTTGGGTATCAGATTAGTAAGACTACCCACTCTGCATTATCCACTAGATTACAGCTCAGATGGTGTTCATCTTTCGTTACGGGGAATGCAGAAGTATTACCAGCGTTTGCGAAGTTTACCCGGGCGGCCTGGAAGTCTCTTTTAATGTTAAACGCATTATGGAGAAGAAACAAGGCCCTTTTTAGGGCCACCATTTTAATAAAAATGTTCTGTTGATGTTCGAAAAAACGCTGAAACTAGAAATGTCGGAACGAGGAGCAGAATTAAGTGAAAGACAAGTCGAGGTATCTAAGAAAGATGACATTGGTATAAGTTCAGTCAAGTATATACTCAGTGAAGAATGATGAAGAAAGGAATTCAAGGAACGGACACCAAAAAAAACAATAACAACTCAGCACATGCATGACACTAATCACTAACAACCAGTCCGTCGGATGGGACTATAAATGGTGGCCCGTGTGAGAAATGTCCAATTTCGCACGGAAAAAATCCCTCTGGGTTTTTCGAAAAAGAGCAGGCGCGTACACGCCGACTCAGAGGACAGGAAAAATTTATTCAAAATTTTTAAGGTAGGGTCTCTTTATTAAGATATTTAGAAGGACTTCCAAATTTTATACATAAACCAAATT